CAAAAAATGTTTCCGATCACAAGGTTCCTAAGACGAAGATTCCAAGGTTTCCAATATCTTAACATATTTTTAACACTGTTTCTAAGGTTGTCATTTTCATTCCCAAAATATTTAGTAAAACTTGTAACTTTAGTTAAAACTGCGAGATGATTTAAATAAAATCGACGAAGACACTGGTTGTCACAATAGAAAATCAATTTGTCAGGCTTAATGCCGGATTGAGTATTTGACAAGCTATCCTGGTAGTATTTGTAGATGGCGCGAATTTAATCGAAGATATGAAGAATAAATTTTAATCCAATAACGGATTATACTCCTAGTATGCCAATCCGATCGCATTAAGTCTGAGTAGCGGATTAAGTGACAACTTTTCTTTTGCTTTAGTGCTTTGTAAATTTAGAATTACTTCGATGTCTACTACATTCAATGAATTTAATTACTGTACGGCAAAGTGTTTTTATCTTTCGAACACGAAATTATAGATTTGAAGTAACTTGGACTTTAACATGCGAAGTTTTCCATTTGTTGAACTACTTCTTAACAATCCGAGCAGGCCTTTGTGGAATTTAGTTGTTACCATAGTGCAATATCTCTGCACAATCTCTGCCTCAATAATTGACAGAAATCTGAGTGATGTACACGCTTACCTTGAAGGAATGTTGCGTTACTTGCCAAAACAATTCTGAACTATGCCCTGAAGGAAATGGGGTCGTAAACGCCTTCATTTATCAACTATCTGCTTACTATATTAGGTACCACATTGTAAGTCAATCGTCCATTATAATTATTACTCCTTTTAAGTCAAGAAGGACACATTGCTTTACTGCCTTTACGATGTAATTTAAAATGATTCCTAAATCTGTCTGGACGTAAATAACTCCAACCTCTTTTTTTTAGATTTTTCTAAAACTAAGGGTGATACTTTTAAAACGCTAAATGGTCCAATTGCAAGGTTGCTGGGTTACTCATTGGGATAGGTCCAAACTGGCAACCGCAATTGAAGTTTTTCTTTGCAAAAGTAAGCCGATAGTGTAGGAACCGTTTCTCATTATTTCTATGGATAAGAAAACTATTCTTATCACGGCATCGCAAGTATTACTGGCTTCTTTAGTTTTTCCTGAGCGATCTTAGGATCCAGAAAGAGTGATTTAACAACATTATCTGGTATTTGGGTAAGTCGTGCCCGATTTTGTACCGTGTGTGCTATTTTGGTTGGAACGGCAGTGTCTCAGCCGTTTTAAAAGATTAGAATGGCTTTCGCGACCCCGTTCCACTTTTTGTGAAACTTTTAATACCACATCTAGGTAGCTACGTTTGCTCCGAGATACAGGGTGAAAACGAAAAGTTTCATTTGTAAACGTAAAGACTGCATATTTTAAATATGAATCCAGTGGCGTAGTAAAATAAATTTTGTTTGCTCAGCTTTTCTGACGCAAAGCTGCTATTTTTTAAATGCAACACCCTATATATCTTAACGTCAATGATTTTCCCTGGTTACATTGATGTATCACAACCTAGGTATATCTTTTTAAATTTTATCCATGAACCAAAAATAAAAACCCTATTTATTCTGCTTTTAAATAGTAGGTCATGGATTCATGAAGATTTTGTTTTGTTTGTTGTATCATGCCGATAGCAATCAATACAAATTCTGACCGTCTTTTCAAAAGTTTAAAAAAGGTGATATTAATATTCTTGTATAATCACAAAAATTCGAAACGTATGCTCTCAAAAAAAATTTCCGCTATGCGGTTTTCCAATTATCGTTTTGCCCTTCTTTTAATTTAATCAACCCCGATTAACGTCCGAAATGCTAACCCGCACGTGTACGATTATTTAGCTTAATCATCCCTAACATGACCCTAATACCGCTAAAATCATTAAACTCGAGATCATTTACGCCGACGTTTAGTAAATTGGATTGTCTTTCTGCCGTCCGCTAGCATGATGGGTTTAGCGAAACTTTATGCAGGAATTAATGAGGTGAATTTGGGGGCACGTAGCGTTACGTTTTCTCCATAAAAAGTTGGTAATTTTCGCGGGTAACGGCCTTGTTTATATGAAAAAAGGTTCCCTTTGTAGCGCATTCGGATAATCTACGCGCTAAGCATGTTCCTGCAAAATTAGGAAAGCGCCTATATTGCCGCACTTAGTATAGGTCTGTTAAATTTCGAAATTGTTAGTAGAAGAGCTTTTGTCAGTAAAACAAGGTTTTTAGATGAGATTTTAGATTATGTGATTAGCGGTAATATAATAACACGCTGAGAATAAAATAATCAAATTGTACAAAATAATCTAATAGAGTTACTATAGGGCTTTCGTCTCTAAACTCTTTCATCTGCTTTAAATAACATTCTAATGTATCTACCACACATATTTTCTGACAATATCGGAAAATGGTTTTTATTCTATGGGGCTGTCAAAACGACATGTTTCTTTTCTAGCTCTTCTAATCTTGGAGGATTTTCATTAAAAAATTACTTTGAAAAACGGCTTAATAGACGGATCCCTCGCACCTCTTTATCTAAAAGCGTACCAAAAGCATCCGACGATTGAGCGATACTCCTTGCTGCACGAAATTGGTATCCACAGCGAAGAAGTTTACTGCATTGTGCCCAAGTGGACTGTGTGAAATTAAAGGAAATTAATCCCTTTCGAGTCTGGGAATCCGTCTCTTGACAAGGTAGTTTTTTCCAGTTTAAATTCTTTATTTTATAGCAGATGTTAAATTGCATTTCAATATGTTTGAGTGAGTAGGCTAAAGTATCTCTTTAACGAAGTGATCACGTTAACGGTATGATTGTGCATTCTAATGACATCTGTCATTCTTATTAAAAATGGGACGCAGAGCACGAAATTCAGCTTCAGAATAGAAACCAATATGGTTTCCATGGAAACGACAGGTTAGATTAAGCTTGCTATTTTTGACGGCTAAATTAAATTCAGAATTTTCAGAATTTTATAATGATTCGTATTGAGTTTGCTATAAAATAAACTTTTGCATTATACACGACGACAAAGGGAGACTAACCATCTTGTGAAAGTAAATTAACGTCTTTCATTCGATGGTTAAAACATCCATTTCTGGTCTAGTATAATAAATATCTATTTTTTCCGCTCTCTCCCACTGATCATTTTTAAAGAATGAGTGTGTTTAACCATTTTCTAAATTAATATTTATCAGTTGGCGCCGTATAACATAATTGAGCATTTGGTTTATAGCATGGGGTTAAGTTGAACCTATCACGCGCAGCATCTTATAATTAACTATTTGGAGATGATGGTGTCCAATCTGTGCACAATTTTTAGGGATGCTCTATATAGCTAATAACTAAAGTGAATGCCAACAGGCTGTGACGCGTTCGAAAAGCACTTATTTCGTAGATAACATCCCACGTGAAAACATTCGGTTGCATTGGAAACTGTAGAGTCTTCCGTTCCTTACTCCTATAGTGAAAATGACCTTCATGCGGTGTTTTTTGTTTCACGGTAGGTTCATTTCAATCTAATCACTGAAAATGATAAAAATACATGCAGTAGGGCGTCAGTTATTCGAAGCCCGGTAATCCGAAACGTCGGTTAACCGAGAGTAAGTCTGCAGAGATTTAGCAGCAAACAAACAAGTCTCTGGACTAAACCAAAAATCTATTTTTGAGTTTTTTAAAGATTGTTTGTGTACATACATATTCTGATATGTAGTACGGTTTTAAGTTTGGTACTGTATTGTAAAAATAAATTTGAATGTTAATTAGTAAAATTTATATTATTGTATCTCATTTTTTCAGTCAATCGGTCCAATTCTGTAACTTTACATAACCTTAGCAACTTGCTAATATTGAAGGTAATTGCTAGATGAGCAACGTTTGTTAAAGGTGGTATCCTGTACTGACAAACTCATTTTTTACTATTTTTTTGTTGGATGTTCCTTTATAATGTTCACTTTCCATCATAGTGCCATCTTCTTAACGTTTTTCTCCTCAACCAAGTCTCAAGCTTCGTTTCCAGCACCTCTCAAGTCCACCCGAAGTTCTCCCTCAATCCTCAGTTTTCCTTCATTGCCAACAGCTTTCATTTAGGTGACTCTGAGGGTTTTTCTTAAACTCTCCTCAAATCATTTTTACGTTCAATTATTAATTTCTTCTTCTGCTTCTCCTTGAGCCAAGTTCTACCTCAAGTTCCTAAACATCTATAAGATTTTTCCCAGGTTTTGTTATGTCCTCCTGAAATTCCCCTTAATTTCCTATCAAATCCTTTTTCAAGTGCTCTTTAAATCGCCGTTATGTACTCCCAAATCCATGAAAAACCGCTCTTAAGGTCCTCAGGTTACCATCAAGTGTCTTTTAAGTTTCCTCCCCAATTACAGAGTGACCCGCATAATGCTATTTAGAGGTGCCTCTGCAGAAGGTCTTAAGTTGGTCTATACTACTCCGGTATTTACCTTACGAATTAGGAAAACTACAGGAAAACCTAATTCGGAGTAGCATATATAGTATATAGAATTATCCGACTAATGATCCATGTTCCAGATAGCAAACAATTTGTAGAAGGATTAGATGTATTTTCCAATGGGTTCACTCATAAAATGCACATTTACATAATGAACCATGGAAATAGATAAACCTGGAGTTCAACTAAAAAAATTAATATGAAAATTTTGTGTCTGATGTGAAGATGACCTGCAATAAGGTCGAAATAGGTGTAAGTGGTAATTTGTTTTGTATCACCACTTAGACTTGAGGAAACCTTGAGTCTTCTTTTCTTTTTTCTTCTGCGAAATTTCCATTAGGGGTCCTACCGTAGAGGTACCACATTAGGACTTATGGATATTCTGCCACTACTATAGGTATACGGGATGGTAATTAAAATTTGCATCCATTCCTAAGAAAATTAACCACTCTACCTCATCTTACATATTAGACGTGGGAATGGCCTCATGTCATTTTATCATAATTAAAGCTGAAGTGTTGATTGAGTACTAACATATTTCCTTCTCATTTCAGAAAATAGAGGCACCTTTCTTAGCAGCGGTGAAACAGACATTAGGAGATCGATATACAGAGAACGTAGAGGCGATATACCACATAACGATAAAGTTTATTTTAGAAACATTGGTTAAAGGATATAACAATGCGAACTCGCCGGCGTGAAAATCATAGGAAAAGGAATTGTGATACGCACCTTACGAATCTAACCAAAGAGACCACACTCGAAGTGACTAGTGAAATAAAGTGAGAACAATATTCTGCTTCCATAGTTTTTTAAAGACATGTTATCAAAGGTGGAATGGTATTCGAGACACGTATAAAACGAGTAATGTATGGTAAAGCACTTATACTTTCAAAAGGCACTTTAAATGGACTTCCTAAATATTCAGTACGTTACCTAAGTGTGTTTTTTACGCTACCTAATCTATCAAAACGTTTTCTTATTTACGTATTTCAAACGATATTATTGTACTTGAGGGTAATTAATTAAGGGTGCTTGAATTGCGACGTCAATTGAAACTGTCATTTAGTTACACTCTTTAGGATTCATTGGAGTGTAGGTGGGATGAATGAGGATTTGGTTTATGTCTGCACAATTTTTTTAAAATTACGTTTTAAAGGTCCAATGCGTCTCAGCCTCAGCATTATAAACACAAACGACTTGTGAAACCAATTTTTAATTTAGACTTAATTTTTGTTCATCCAATGATATGAGTATGAAACTGAAACGTTGCCAAGTATTGTGCCAAATGTTATCCCTAACTGATTCTAATGTAGTTTTTGTTTTGCAACTCTCATCAATTTTTCAGGAGACTGAAGATCAGTGTTGTACAAGGAGCACTGTCTAGCAGTCACGAAAAACTGTAGAAATTGTGGCATTTACTTGACCTTTGAAGTGCAAGGAGACCATTTTTGAGTTACATTATTTTTAACCAAGGATCTGACTGCCATAGGTAAGAACATCTTGATGATTCGTAACTAAATATTCCTGGACCATTAAGAAGACCTCTTTTGCATGATTTCCAAAGTCGTGGTTCATATTGGGGTTTGGGGCTCCTGACGCACTCCCTAAAATGTCTTTTTATTTATTTTAAAGCTACCATCAGATCATCTCCCAATTCACAGATACTTTCTGTTAAGTTACCTTGGTTACTCTTTGATACAAAAAACAAATCGGTCGTCTTTCTTTTTTTTAGGACACTATGTATACAGTGTGCCTAATTTTGCTTGACACTACAGGGTATTTCAGCTGTTTTTAAAGATACAAACTTGCGGGTTTCGCAACCCTGTGGCTCTTTATGAAACTTTTAATAGGTACCACAAACAGAATCCATCTAGCTACGTTTGTTTCTGAGATACAGGGTGAAAACGTAAAGTTTGACTTTTTGGGATGTTATCGTATATTACTACCCAAAGGTAAAAACTGTACATTTTAGATCTTTGTACGTAGAATCCACTGCCGTATCAAAAAAGTTTTGGGAGCACCGTTTCTGAGATTTGACCCCATGTTGGTATTACAACCAATTTTTTTTTTTAATTTTAGTCATGAAAATCAATAAAAACTTTATTTTTTACTGTTTTTAAATAGCAGGCCATGAATTCATGGATATTTTGTTTTGTATATTGTATACATGGTAACTAAGACAGTCAATATGAATAATAAAAATAGATGACGGTAGAAACTATAATTTCAAAATTTGGAAATATGTGGTATAATATAATATACAATTATACATGGTGTTAATTAATATCCTGCATTTTTTAGAATCTCTACAATAAAGTATCAAAATAATTGATCGCAGTATGCAGGGTGATACATTTTGTTTCCCACACTTTATAACGAAAACGACCCCCTATACCACTCTACTGCTAATATTTTACTAATCACCTTAGTTTAGGTACATATTGTCACTAATACGGTCACATACATTTTTGATCTGCAGAGGGGGATACAGACAAATAAATTTCCATCCTTTCGGATTGAACGAATGGCATTCCAAAAATAGTGTTTATAAAACTTAAACTATAAAATGTGCAAAATTCGTTTTCCCATTTCAAAGTGTCCTTGTAACAAACTGCCGAAATCAGAAACGAAACCATGAACATTAATACTCATTTAGTGTGACAAATTAAGCCTAAACTAATTTTAATGACTTCATTTGACACTCCGAAACATGAAAATCGTCAAAACTGAAATTTATGTTTCGAACTTTCATGTATCATGGCATGATGGTGGCTTGAGGAAACCCTCAATTTATCTTTATAGCGAAAATTCGTTCACTCATAAAGCATAGCTCCCAGCATGAATCTGCACTGAACGCAACACATCACTCTGCCTTCGGTACCTGTTACGCAATCTTCGCTAAAGTTGGAAGAACAAATATTAACGTTCTGGGCTTAAACTAAACTATTAACAAATTGGTCAATTTTACACAGTGCTTGCAAGGAAGTGCATTATCTTGGAAAAGATCTTCAAAAGTCAATTAAACTGGAACAAAATTGTGCAGCTTAAACTCTTATTGTCTTATACTTGTTTCCATTTCCATTTGACTATTCGAGACTTTTGATAGAGTCGCTTGCATGACAGTGTATATCTGTAATAATTGTTTGTGAATGTGTATTTGCTTTAATAGTCAATACATTACGGTTTTTAAGCTGTGACTGTTCAGAATAAATACAATATAGTTTATTGTTATATTAGTAAGATTCACCAAACAAAAAATCATTAGCGTGTAGATAAATTATATTTTATTAAAGGTATATACATACATTTACAACACTGCTTGTTACATTCTTACAAACCATTTTCGTGTAATATAAACATTCATGTTAATTGTAACATTTACAGCTGTTGTTACATTGTGTACCAGAAATATAGCCTAAATAAAAGGAATATGATGTTTAGTGTTATTAAAGGATGTTTTTACCAGAAACTGTTTACTTTTATTCGCATCTAATTTAATATGTGGTTGTCAATAGCATGATGAAGGTATCGCATGAAAATGATTTTCAGGGATTTTGATCTTTTTTGATCCACAAAAACATTTAGGTACATATCATTTACAGGCACTACAACTCGGCACACGAAAATGCAGAAGAACACCTTTCGGCATAAAAAAACAAAACAAAATTCTGGAAACGCATACCTATATGAAGAACGCATCAAAATCTGAAGGAATGGCTAACAGAGTCACAAATGAAGGATCGGACATTGATTTAGTTGGACCTAAAATAACAAAACCCGAAATGATGTTTAGGGCAGCTGATGGGTTCCAACAATTTTACCCGATGTTGTTAATATATACGGAAAGAGTTCCGCTCCTTTGATCACATCTACAGCCGCAAGTATACCTACATAAATTTCTTACTTTAACCTTAAAGTTATTGAAGTGGGAGAAATTTGAATTTTCTGTTAAACTATGTGGTAAATCTGAACATAATTTAAGAAAAATTACGACTTCCATATTCATATACCTAGATCGACATGACTAAGTTGAATAGAAACGCCACCATCGAGTCATTCTCCTCACATGGTATCTAAACCACTTACCGACATTTAAAAACAGAAGCGTGATCAAGCAGAATTCGTACCTTTGATAAACATTGTGAGAGTCAAGTACCTAAAACAATCGCAGTTTCAAGTAAAACGTACGTTACTATACTTTATGTATATCTGTGCTATATGAGAAGAATTCATGCATGGGAGCGGATAAAGCATCTTCATAGACACTTTTGGAATAGGTAGGTACATGACGAAATGAATATTTACATACCTATCTCACAACAGGGAGGGAGAACATGTTACTTAATAATCCTTCACAATCGTTTGGAAAAAGCACCGTTTTGAATATATTTTGAATATTTTAAACCAAAATAGCTTAGTAAATGATTGGCTTCTAACCTTCTTGGTAGATGATTCCCACTCAAGTTCCTACATCGGCAGTAGATATGTCTCGTGTAGACGTTCCAATCTCCTTATGAGGCTACCTTCTTCCGAGACACGCCAGTAGATGATAGAAAGAGTGGTATCTTCACTGGGTGTATAAGAAAAGAATTCACCAGGTAGACGTAATGCAGTACCATAAACGAGTACAGCAGGAGCGTAACCAGAATCATCTTCGGGAGTTGCACGGAGGCCGAGAAGAACTATAGGCAGCACCTCAACCCAGCGTTCGGCGCGATGGCATTTTATAGCTGCTTTTAGCGTCCGATGGAAACGTTCCACTTTTCCGTTCGCTTGGGGGTGGTACGCTATTGTGCGAAGGTGGTTGATACCCAAAAGCTTGTTGATCTGAGCAAAAAGGCAATGATTCGAATTGCCGTCCACGATCCGTTGTTATTCGTTCTGAGATTCGAAATCTAATAAAAATCCTGGCAACTGACTCGGCGGCGATGTCGGTCATAGGGAATGCCTCAGGCCATGAAGTAAAAGGTCGATTAGTTTGAGTGCATATGTGAATTCCAAATTCGGAGGAAAGGGGCCGACTAAATCCATATGGACGTGCTTGAACCGTTTGGACTCTAATTGAAATTGTCCTCGGGGTGACACACTATGGCGATGCACTTTGGATCGTTGTGGAATTTTGTGAAAATCAGCGGCCGTATAGAGTTGGGAACGTAGGGTCTTCTTTGTTTGTCACACATAATTTCGATATCAGGAAAACCGGGCGTAGGTAACCTGACAGCGTCATCCAAAAATTGTGTGAGGTCTTCGTCTTGGAGCTGGTCTTCCGCCAACTTCTGGTAGTCGATGGTATGCGGAGGCGTGATAACAGAGTGTACTCTGGATAGAGCGTCGGCGACTTTACCCGAGATGTGGCGGTATGGCGTCGGTGGTGAATTGGCCGTTATGTAACTGAGGTGTCGACTTTGCCGTGCGGTGCCATTGTTGCCTTTTTTAACCAATGCGTACGTAAGCGGTCGGTGGTCAGTAATAATCGTGAAATTTCGGCCTTCTAAAAAGTGCGCGAAGTACTTCACGGCGGAATACGCTGCCAAAAGCTCTCTGTCAAAAGTGCTATACTTGGATTCCGTCTGTGTGAGTTTTCTTGAGAAGAAATCTAGCGGGCGTGCCGAACAATCGGTGACTTGTTCGAGTGCGGCTCCGATCGCTGTGTCCGATGCGTCGATGGATAGGACCAAGAGGCAATCGAAGTTGGTGGGGTGTGTTAGGGTACAAGCGCTTGCTAGATCGGTCTTGCAATTTTCGAAAGCTTGGACACGCTCTTCGGTTCACTCAATTTGGCGTTTCTCTTAACGGGTCCTTTGAGAAGTTCGGTGAGCGCGTGCTGGGTTTTGGCTGCGTTTTTTATGAATCTGCGGTAATAATTGAATATGCCCAATGTTCTGCGCAGGTCTTGGATGATCTTTGGTAACGGAATGATTCTTGAGGGTTTCAGTCTGGCAGCTGATGGTTTCACGCCTTGACTTGAGATGTCCATTGCCAAAAACGCGAGCGATGGTGCACCAAACTCACATTTAGCCACGTTGAATGTGATGCCGTGTTGTTGAAACCGCCGAAGCACTTCCTCCACGTGGGCCCTGTGTGTGGCTTCGTCAGGTGATGCTATTAGCACGTCATCCAGGTAGGCAAATGTGAATGGAAGGTCTTGAAGCACTTGGTTTATTAGACGTTGAAACGCCTGTGCGGCGTTGTTCAATCCAAAGGTCATAACCGGAATCTCGAAGAGTCCAAATGTGGTGGTGATGGCGGTCTTTTCAATATCTGCCGACTCGACAGGTATCTGACGGATAAGGCGCGCACGAGGTCTAATTTGGTGAATATGTAGCACTTTTCCAAGTTTTTCAAGGTTGTCGGGGCTGACAGTAAGTATGGCTTGGTGCTGCTGTGGGAGTCGAGATAACCAAAGGGATTTCAAGATGTCGTCCACGATACGCGAACCTCCTAGATTTCGGTGACGTAGTAGGAGTGGAGAAGGTTCCAGGTCACCCAACTCTAAGTCCATGAGGAGTTTCTTGAGTCGTCGCTCTTCGCTGCCCGTGAAAGCGTCCCATATACTTGTCTGTTTCTGGAGGAGTGTTGACGATGGCTGCCACTTACGTTAAGATGTCGGTAGGTACCGATGGCGACGACGGCTGTGTAATACCGGGTGGTATCGCTCGAGATTCCCGAAATATGGAACTGCGCCTCCATTTGGTGGAACCATAGGGATGGGTCGCCTTTCCGAAATGGTGGAGGTTTAATTGCCACTCGATTTACTACGGAAGGTTCTGAATGCACTTGGTCGGAAGATGAAGTTGCAGCGAAGCGCGATCGAAGACTGCCCCTTTGTGCTCGCCTGTGGCCGGTATTTAAATGGTCGGGTTTGCATGCTAGTGGCTGATGACCCAAAAATGTTCGGGAAAACACTTCTTCCTATTAATTTAGCTTCGTAGATTCCAAAATGTCTCGTATTTTGCCAATTGGACCTCTGAATCAAAAGTTATAGGCAAAAAACCCATTTCGAAAAAAATTCAAGGCGCAGTTACTTCAAACTGTTTGAAATTATGGATTCTACACTCCAAATTCTATAAGAAAATGTTTTTTTCCGGTCGATTTCAGATCATTCATTCTTCCTACCCAAATCATAGGCAAGCAAGAACCAGGAGAAATCAAAGAAATCGAAATCATTTTACTCCCTCTACATTTTCTTTTATTGTAAATTAAATTACATTACAGAATTTTTATAGGAATATAAATGCAATATCAATGTTGACACAACTGCAACATAAGAACATACAAAATACACTTAGAATTAGTGATGGGGTGGAGGTGGTACAGGTAGAACACCAGCCAAAATTGGTGGAGGCGGAGGAATGGGGTTAAACATTGGTGGTCTGGGCGGTGGTGGAACAGGTAACATAGGAGGAGGCGGTACCCCTCCCATAATATTTGGACCTCTTGCAATTATAGCGGTAGCCTTCTTTGCTTCATTCTTAAATGCGAACTGGAGAAAGAATTGCTTGGTATCTCTATTCCAATGGGTCCAAAATTTGTTGTCGGTTTTTTCTACCTCGCGACTGGGCACCTTGAAAGCGATAGTTTCATATGGCTCAGCGGCAAACAGCAGGTATTGCCATTTACGATCTGGAGGCTCAATTTTTTGCTCGTATGCAGACATAAAGCGATGACGTGGGTAAACCAAGTCGGCAATTTCTAGAAAAATATTTTTACATCTGTGGCCTTTCCAAGTAAAAATCAGCTTACCTGGATAATCAATCTGAAACAGCAAGCTTTGTTGACCACATTCAGGATCACGTTGTTTTGTCACTCGATAACCCGGTCTGCCAATCTTAACAAACTTCTTTGGCTCAACTCTTGGTTTTTCAGGTTGCAATTGGGACGGGCAGTCCTTGGCCTCTTTAGCAGCACGACGAGCGAGATTGGCTTGATGCTTTTTGCCTTGCGTGTGAGCTAAATAACTGCCCTCGTTGTTGTGCAACGTCAAGCAAAGTTTGCACTCATAAGAACCCAAGTGGTTTTTCATAAAGTAGGGATCCTTCTGCAAGTCTATAGTTTCGAGGGCGAGCTGACGAAGCCTCTCCCTTCGGTCGCGGTTGGTTTCGGACCATGACGCTACGCCGCCGCCGCCAGTTTTTCCACCTGGTCGGTTTTGGAAATCCATATTTCAGTGTACAAAGAACGGTATAAAAACAATTTTGCAAAAATTATAAAATTAACCTATTCAAGCTCACTGCATTGAAGTTTGAAGTTAGCAATACTGCCATTTTCCATACAAGAAGTACATTTTCCCTATATCCAAAAGGAACCAAAAACAAAGTTGGAAGAAATTAAGGAAATTTTGGCAAATCTTTAAGGATAGTGGAAGCACACATGAGGGAAAACTTGAACTATAAATCCGCCAATTAAATATGTAGGAAAAACTTTTTGTATTTCTACAGCCGTAAGTTGCTGGAGCATCCTTTTACTGGAGAGTGCTGTTGATGTGAAATGGTAAACCGTTAATTATATGGTGTAACAGGCGAGTATTTTTTCCACAATATATTTTGAACCATCCGTTTATTTGGAAAAAAGTATGTGTATTGGCCGCTGCTACTGCCCAATTCCCGGTGGGCTTCCTGTGCGCCCACACGCTGATCATGAATATCATTCAAGTACAAAGGGCTCTAAATTAAATTTTGTGAGGCGAGAAGACCCACATTGTGTGGACCTTCAGATAAAAGGTAAGCCTTCATAAAAAAAAGTTTTCCTTTTAACTATTCAACGATATTCGGAACAACTGTAAATAAAATTACGCTACACACCGATTGCCTCGCCCTGTATTACATCATAGTTGGTTGTATTGGCAACATCGCTTCACTTTCCGCTAACTTCAGAGTATAGTTTCTTTTCTTTTACTTGTCTTATAGGACACGAACATGGTGAGTTTGGCGTGATAATCTGTTTTAATCTCCTAAAATTAAAGCCATCCTGTAATTATTTCATAACGTTAAAGCACTTTCACCCTTTTCCTGCGTTATTTTCACAATTTCTTAACATTATCCCTTAGTTTGACCCATTAGCCTTTTGGAGGTTATATTAACATTCTGTATTTTACAGGCTACCGGAAAGAAGAAGACGAGGAAGTTAAGAGGACACGTAAGCCACGGTCATGGTCGTATTGGTGAGTATTTTAGTGCTACGAGAGTTTTACAATAGTTACTGGTCTATTCGATAGGTAAACATCGTAAGCATCCCGGTGGTCGCGGTAATGCCGGTGGTCTTCATCACCACAGAATCAACTTTGACAAATACCATCCTGGGTACTTCGGAAAGGTAAGTGTGGTAATGTGTAATTAATAGTTTGTAATTCGTTTCATTGCAGTTAGGTATGCGTAACTACCATGTAAAGAAGAATAGCAAATGGTGCCCCATTATAAATTTAAATACATTATGGAGTCTTGTAAGTGAAGAAACAAGGTTGAAGTACAAAAACGACAAAGAGGGAAAGGCACCAGTCATCGATGTTGTACAACACGTAAGTACTTTCAGTTAATGCGGCCTAGCCAACTGTAATGATGAAATCATGAACGGGCGGTCTGAATATTAATGCTTGTTGTAAGTTCATTTCTGAACTTTGTAATTATCGTAATATCCCATTGAGTGTTTTGTGAAGAGGTAATTTGATTATTTGTTTCAGGGATTCCATAAGGTATTAGGAAAAGGTACGCTTCCTAATCAACCTGTGATTGTGAGAGCGAAACTCTTCTCCAAGCTTGCAGAAAGTAAAATTAAAGCAGCTGGGGGAGCTTGCGTATTACGTGCATAATTTTTATATTAATAAACCACTTAATATACCTACTTTTTTTTTATTATCTAATATTTGGTAGAGGTCCACCTTATTGAAGTATTGAGAGAGATTTTATGTTACCATGGTCTCTTGAGCGTCTCCTGGATTACTTTGTTGGACCGCCTTGAATTTACTGGCACTTGGTTTTGTTAGGTGTACTGTATGGAACTTCCAGGCACTACTCTATTCCATGGCGCAATTTTATACATGCTCAAAGCTGACTGGTGTCTTAAACTCAACATTGGTCACAGCACCGCTCTGATGGAAGCCAAAGCCTGTGCTACTTGTAACTTCATGACTACTCCAGAGACTGGTGATGGTACAGTGGTGACTTCAATTGGGAGATGGGTCATGTTTTAACAAAATAGGTAGGTGCACCATATTGGTAAAAATTAACTTTGAACCAATTGACTCGAAGAAAAATTCCGGACAAAACGAACGCACAGTCTATATACAGTCACTCATGGCGATTGGATTAGATGCACGAGAAGCACCACCGTGTATAGGTGAGGATTAGGTATACAGTAACATGTATTACCTATAGGGATTTACGTGTATTGTTTTTCTCTATTTCTTTTAAATGCCAAATATCTTCAGAAGGGTGCCTAATTTTTTCAACCAAAATAACTTCTTAAGACAAAGATCTGCCTGTCACAGTAATTAATTTCAATATTGTTGCATTGACTTCCATATTTTTATTTTCGTTCGTGTGCAATGTATTCAACCGAAGAAAAAGATCATGAAAATTCAAATGTATGAATATTTTGAGAGACATAAACTAATAACGGGCGATCAAAAATGAGTTGCTGTCGAGTCGCCTTTGGAAGTTACGATTTCACATGTAAACAAAAGTTCCAAAGGTGACTCGATCGCACAGTATCAGAATGTCAATCGGGTTTTAGGAAAAACTATAGCTGCGCCACAGCACTCTAGTGTAACAAACGATGTAATACAACCTACCGATCAAGGCCTGGTGACGGTTATGGTGATGCTAGATTTTTCAAAAGGTTTCGACACTATTATAATCATAAACTATTAAGGCGAATCCTTGTTCACTACGGCTTTGACTTAGCGGCAATGGAACTTTATCAACTCCCACCTCTCAGATCGGACACAACGGGTCATTGTAAGTAAGAAGTCTCCAATTACCAACATTACCCAAGGGGTCCCACAGGGTTCTAGGTATCTTAGAACCGCTCTTATATGTACTCTACTCAAATTTATATATAAAGGTCTAATTAAATCTAGATATCATATCAATACGCCGATGACACACAAATTCATTATTCTTTTAAACCAAATGAAGTACCTACATTACATGCAGCCGTAGAATTAATAAACAAGGAGTTAAATGTAGTCGTTAATACTGATTCGGAACATAATTCAAATATAAATCCAAATAAGTAAGTCTTCGGTGGTACTTTTTGGACGTGTGCAATTTCGGTTAAAAATAATATCCTTCATTGCCATAAAAATTGGTGATATTCAACTGAGCGTACAAAACATAGCAAAGAAGTTGGGACTTCGATTTGACCATAATGTGAGATTTACTGACCATGTATAAATTATTGTGCCCCTATCAAGTATCAAGTAAGTATCCAAGTTTTCAAGTATCAAGTGAGAGAAGCTTTTAAGAGAAATTAAAAAAGTGATTTGGAAAAGTTAGGAGTGATTCAAAAAAGTTAGGAGTGATTCAAAAAAGGTAGGAGTGATTCAAAAAAGTTAAGAGTGATTCAAAAAAGTTAGGAGTGAGTGATTCAAAAAAGTTAGGAGTGAGTGATTCAAAAAAGTTAGGAGTGAGTGATTCAAAAAAGTTAAGAGTGATTCAAAAAAGTTAAGTGATTCAAAAAAGTTGGGAATGATTCAAAAAAGTTAGGAGTGATTCAAAAAAGTAGGAGTGATTCAAAAAAATTAGGAGTGACTCAAAAAAGTTAGGGGTGATTCAAAAAAGTTAAGAGTGATTCAAAAAAGTTGGGAATGATTAAAAAAAAGTTAGGAGTGATTCAAAAAAGTTAGGAGTGATTCAAAAAAAGTAGGAGTGATTCAAAAAAAATTAGGAGTGATTCAAAACAGTTAGGAGTGATTCAAAAAAGTTAAGAGTGATTCAAAAAAGTTGGGAATGATTCAAAAAAGTTAGGAGTGATTCAAAAAAGTTAGGAGTGATTCAAAAAAGTTAGGAGTGATTCAAAAAAGTTAGGAGTGATTCAAAAAAGTTAGGAGTGATTCAAAAAAGTTAAGAGTGATTCAAAAAAGTTAAGAGTGATTCAAAAAAGTTAAGAGTGATTCAAAAAAGTTAAGAGTGATTCAAAAAAGTTAGGAGTGATTCAAAAAAGTTAGGAGTGATTCAAAAAAGTTAGGAGTGATTCAAAAAAGTTAGGAGTGATTCAAAAAAGTTAGGAGTGATTCAAAAAAGTTAGGAGTGATTCAAAAAAGTTAGGAGTGATTCAAAAAAGTTAGGAGTGATTCAAAAAAGTTAGGAGTGATTCAAAAAAAGTAGGAGTGATTCAAAAAATTAGGAGTGATTCAAAAAAGTTAGGAGTGATTCAAAAAAGTTAGGAGTGAGTGATTCAAAAAAGTTAGGAGTGATTCAAAAAAGTTAGGAGTGATTCAAAAAAGTTAAGAGAGATTCAAAAAAGTTAAGAGTGATTCAAAAAAGTAAGAGTGATTCAAAAAAGTGATTCAAAAAAGTTAGGAGTGATTCAAAAAAGTGGAGTGATTCAAAAAAGTTAGGAGTGAGTGATTCAAAAAAGTTAGGAGTGATTCAAAAAAGTGATTTAGGAGTGATTCAAAAAAGTTAAAGTGATTCAAAAAAGAGAGATTCAAAAAAGTTAAGAGTGATTCAAAAAAGTCAAGAGTGATTCAAAAAAGTTGGGAATGATTCAAAAAAGTTAGGAGTGATTCAAAAAAGTGTTAAGAGTGATTCAAAAAAGTTAGGAGTGAGTGATTCAAAAAAGTTAGGAGTGATTCAAAAAAGTTAGGAGTGATTCAATAAAGTTAAGAGTGATTCAAAAAAGTTAAGAGTGATTCAAAAAAGTTTTTTGAATTCAAAAAAGTGATTCAAAAAAGTTTTTTGAATTCAAAAGTGATTCAAAAAAGATTTTTGAATTAAAAAAAATGTCAAAAAATTTTTTTGAATTCAAGAAAGTTGTAAAAAGGAATGTTTAAAAAAAACAAAAAAATTAAACTTTTTTATTCTATTTTTCAATAAAGTTACATTTTGGAAATCAAATTTTTTTGAATTTCTAATAAAGTTTCAATATAGATTATCTTGTTAATTAAAAAAATGTCCAGCTGCCAGCAAAGTGCAGTCAGGGCAGTACAATATTATTCTAGAGATGAACAAAGGAAATAAGTTTCTTTTTTTGTATTACAAAGATTTTCTTAACTTAAGTGATAACTTAAAAAATAAATAACTTAATACCTACGTACCTATATTTTGTTATCACTTTTAAACATTATACATGCACAAATGGAAATTGAAGTTACTAGTGAAACACCATAGTCAGAGTAAATCTGGATGCCGGATGGACGGGAATGATGATGATGACAGCGCCGAATTCGAAGTGGTGATGGTGAATAGTACTCATCCCTACAACAATAAGATTATCCAGTAAACGTTGGCAACTGCGGAGTTGACTAGTTCCTTCGGTCTTCGCATCGGAAAAGTGTCGTCGTTTTAGATCGCTAGCGATGGAGGTAGGTACTGCTTGAGACCGCCTAAAAAGTGAAGTTGAATTAAAAAAGATCTTTTGATGGGTAAGTACGTATGTATCCCAAAAGAGCTGAGATATTAATGAAATAAATCAGATCAAATCAGTTGAATTTGGCCTGTAGAATCCATAATTTCAAACAGTTCCAAAATTGGGCTACTAGTTCAAAAGTTACAGCGCTTTGAATTTTTTTTCGAAATTGGTTTCTAGTAACTTTTGATTGAGAAGTCTGATCGAAAAAGAACGAATTGTTTTGGATTCTACGCACCAAAATTAATAAGAAAAAGTGTTTTCCCGAGAAATTTAGGTGCAGTCGATTTTTGGTAAAAAAGGAAGGTTATACACTGCCTTTTTTTGAGCCCCGAAAAAAAATAGTCCANTCTATAACTTTTGATTGAGAAGTCTGATCGAAAAAGTACGAATTGTTTTGGAGTCTACGCACCAAAATTAATAAGAAAAAGTCTTTTCCCGAGAAAATTTGGTGCAGTCGAATTTTGGTAAAAAAGGAAGGTTGTACACTGCCTTTTTTTGAGGCCCTCAAAAAAAATTCTCTCAGATCGACCCGGAAAAAAAATTTTCTTATAGAACGTGGCCTGTAGAATCCATAATTTCAAACAGTTCCAAGATTGGGCTACTAGTTCAAAAGTTACAGCCCTTTGAATTTGTTTTCGAAATTGGTTTCTAGTCTATAACTTTTGATTGAGAAGTCTGATCGAAAAAGTACGAATTGATTTGGATTCTACGCACCCAAATTAATTAGAAAAAGTGTTTTCCCGAGAAAACAATAAAGTCGTGTGCAATGTGCATTTGAGGAGTGGTTTGCAGACAAAGATTTAGCACAGGTACAGATTGAATTACTTATGGCAACTCACCAGAAAATGTTTGCTTATTTATATCATGGAAGTACAATCGAAGTGAATTGAATCCATCAGAACCAATGGAGGCCAAGAATTTGACGCGCCCGTGTAATTCATTGCAAAGTGGTGGTAGTCTCCATTTTGAATCAGGAATCGCATATGAAAAGGTGGCAACTTTTTCCAATGGCAAATGGTACGTCTCTGACAACATCGCAATCATGCAATGACCTACCACTCCGTGTCAACAATCTAAAAATTTCATCAAAACCATTGGAGATGGAAATATGTGACTCACCCTTGTATCCGCTCAAAGTGCTATTCGCCAGCTCCATTTTGAATTAAGTAGGGATCAGATATTAAAACGCGGTAACCATTTCTAACGACTGGAAGATGGTATATCTTGAACAACGTAGCTATAATTCAATGGTTTCCATCTCCACAAAAGTCAGTGACAATCGACAATTGACTCTAAACAAATCCACCAGAGGCAATAGATGTAGAAGTTTTTGACGCTCCACAGTGTCTTCCACCAACTCCATTTTAAATAACGTAAGATAAATGGCGTGTTCAAGGTGAATTCGTTAAAACAATTTGATTTTCTGAACCTATTTGCCCTAATAATAATAATAATTATTATTATTAATTAAGCATGTTTTCTTTATTTATTGTTAAACACAATTTATAACGGTCCACACTTGTAAAGGATGGTTACTTTGCAAAGTGTTGACGATCTTCTCAGGTTCGTGGTGTGGCTCGTAGTAGATACAAATTCTTCTTGTAATTTCTTCATCTTGTTAGGTTGCTGAAGTACTTTTGGGACTTACCTTTTTGTGTACTTTTACTTCCAGCTAGCTCAGGTAAATAAATTAAATTCATTTCTCTTTCACTACTATCTCATTATTGTCAATAATTTGTTAGCAAAATTTGGAAAAAATGCTAATTCTGAATATGGAACTCTTTAAAATCTAAAACTTATTACCTCTGCTTTTAAAGACCAATAATTGTGACTACAATTTCACAAGATTACATTTATTATAATTAAACCACAAATAATAAAAGAAATTGTACCTTGTCACTGTTGAACTTGCCGGAGTCAACGTCGGATATGCTCAATAAATGGAATGGTCGCCAAATGCTTTTACTGGTCAAATCATGTATACAGGGTGTTCCAAAAGTTCCGGGACGGAGGTATACGTGTCAATGAAGTAAACTGGGGGCATACAAACTGCACTTTAGGTTTTTAGATTTAGATAGTGCAATACTTTTATACAATGGGAATTGTGCTTTATATGGCTAAAGCTATGCGCATATTGAATTTCATGCAATTCGGTTCATATAACTAACGGAGATGTCAAAAGGGCCTACTTTATTTTTCGGTCTACATTGCTAATTTTATTCACGAACTCCGATCTACAAATTTGATAAAGAATCCACCTGCAAAATTTCATCGTAATCGGTCCATTCGTTTATGAATTATCGTTCTAACGGACGGACGGACTGACAGACACCGCAAAATTATAAACTCGCTAGGAGCTCGTTAATAACCTACTGCCTATTGCCATTGCAACGTATCTTCCTATCCGATGGGCGTAGTACGGTTGTGCTAAATACAGAGTGGCCCAACGAGAAATATACAGAGGGCTTTTAGGGTATTAAATTTAAAAAGTTCGAAAAATTCTCGAACACGTCAATTTTGTATTCGAGGGGAACAACTTTTGGAATACAAATCACGAACCAAAGTCTTCACCCCTCTACGTAGGAAGCTTAACTCCTAAAATTTTAAATGGAATCCTATCGCAAATGGCACATTTAATCGTGATTACTAATCTGCTTTGCTTTTTAAATTCTATTGATTCGTTTCGGAGAACTGACAGGTTCACTTAAGTTTAACAAACAAATTGAAGCGTCAAAATCAAATTTTAATACAAGGTGACTTAGATCGCATTTGTTTTGGTTTAGAAAAAAAACCATTTCAAATGTGAATATCTCCGAAACGAATCAATAGAATTTAAAAAGCAAAGCAGATTAGTAAGTAATCACGATTAAATTGACTTTCAAATAATGTGCATTTGCCACAGGATTCCATTTAAAATTTTAGGGGTTATAAGCTCCCTACGTAGAGGGGTGAAGACTTGGGTTCGTGATTTGTATTCCAAAAGTTGTCCCCCTCGAATACAAAATTGACGTGTTCGAGGATTTTTCAAAATCTCTAAATTTAATACCCTAAAAGCCCTCTGTATACTTCACGTTGGGCCACTCTGTATATATAGGGTGGCGCACCAAAAAGGATTCGCTAACTGGGGAACGAAATGTGGTATCGTCATACGGTTTTCACTGAACGTATCACGACCCAGGTGGGCATTTGACTAAAATTATGAAACAACCATTATTTCTGACAAGGAAAATACAAAATTTAGACAAAAAAACCGATGATACACTTGCCTAGAACTCTGGATGCACTTCTACAATAACGAAAATTCGTATTTCCGAATAAAAGGCCCATAACTTTTGGTGTGTAGTTGTGCAATTACAAAAATTCTGTTTGTTTTCGATTCTACCTTCATTTACGTTTAAATCCAAACCACAACCTTGGCTAATTCAGTCCATGATTTTTTCTCGGAATATTTTTCAAAAATTCCGCGTGAATTTCATTTGTTCCAAATCGTGTTGACACGAGACGTCAGCATTTACCCTTTTTACTATCAAAATGGGTGAGAAACGTGGACGAGGTGAGATGGCTATAATGGTACGTTACCCGATCAAAATACGTTCGATTAACCGACGCGTTTAAGGTTAGACTCCCGAACAAGTACTGGCCAAACAATTTAGAGCAAAATGTAGATTTAAAGCAACGGTGCGTCGAGTTATACAAAATTTGTACTGGCTCAACGACTTTGAAGATCAAATTCTAAACGAGTCTGTGGAGAAGAATATTTACCTTCTTACAAGACGAAAGGGCGAAAACACGTTGTCGATAAGGGTCTTTATAAGCTGTTTTGGGGTATTAAGACACCTACATTTTTAGGACAAAGCAATTCTTAACAAACCAGTACAGGCGAGAACTGAGTTGGATAGTGCCTATCTGTATAGAGCAATTGGGGGGTTGAAATGCTTCCGGAGATATCCGACGGTAGGTATACTGAGCAGTAGCGGACACTTAAGGGTGGAATCAACAGCACGTTAAAGCCCAACTAGCGGCGGTGACTTATTTTGCATATTACCAACCTGGTAGAGTAATTTTTCGTGAGGGACATATGGCGCAAGCACTTTACTTCATCGTTTCCGGCGAAGTAATTATGAGTCAGCTCGTTTACGATCCAGTGCTGGATAAAAATGTAAACCAGGACGTTGGTCGTCGTGGACCTGGAGCAGTACTCGGCGAGGTCTCGCTTCTGCACGACATTCCTCGACCAGTTACAGCCACTACTAGCAGTAAGCCCTTGATTAGCGGTTCTCGAATGTCTTCTTCATCGCCCATTTTAGCCAATACTGAATTTTTGCGTTTGCTAAAGGACGACTTCAATATAGTCCTTAAAGCTACAGTTCAGCAGCAGTGGTTTGAAGTACAACGCGCCCTGGATATGTTTACCTATTTCGAAAATTGGAACGACATGACAAGGCGCGAATGTTGTATTTTAGCCAAAATGCTCGCATTTAAACCAGACGAAACCATACGAGGCGACGGAGTTGGCAACAAAGACTACGTCTATTTTGTATTAAAAGGTCAATGTAGGATTATTCAACATTTGTACACAACTCACTACACTAAAAATGGAAAAGTTCACTACAAGATATATCACCCGGTGTATGGTCGAGATAAAGAGAGTGCTATCACTAATGTGCATGAAGAACGCGTGTCTACAAGTAAAGTACAGAAGTCCGCTCATGGTGAACTTCCGAGGTATATTCACTCACTCCCCTTCTATTTCCTTCTCGTCTGTTGATATGTTACTATACCAATTTCAGATTTGGTAGTGCAGATTCAGACGAATTCGTTCCTCACAAAACCCACCCACTGTTACCCCCAAACGTAGAGCTTCACTTTATGCAGGTCAGGTGAAACAGTACCTTGTATTTAGTATTTCGGTCATTGCAGGTCTGCCTTTTAAACGAGACAGCTTGTTTTTCCATCGGCGAAAACTTCGTTAACAGACGAGTGGTAGCCGTGACCAATGTTGAGTGTTTACTGATACCACGGTACTGGTTAATGCAGAGAAACATAGGAAATATTTGGAATAGGGTAAAACAGTATCTGAACAGCCACATCCCGTCCGCGAATGAAGTACACCAAGAGTTTTTGAAAGGTCGAAAATGGTGCCATCACGAGAAGGAAACAATTGACGCGCTTCTTGCCAAAAAGCAATCGGTAAACCATGCCTCAATGTGGGACGTTCCGCTTTTTATAAGGATGAACGAGAAAATTGATTTGTAGATTGAAATATACTAGCAAGAGGTCTAAAAGTGGTTTAGTTTTTCTTCAGCACCATCCGTACACGGTAGTGAGCCAGATAGTCTGGAAACCAGACGAAAAAGCTGGAAGTAAGGTACGGTGAAAATTTTTTGCGGTTTTAGGTCACTAAGTAGGTCAATTTTAAGAATCCGATTGATGCCACTCTGTCACCCTTGAGCATTTTGAGAAATTCAAGATGGCGCTCAAAAATGTCTACAAAAATATAAAAATTAAATTTTTTTAAAATATGGGATGTAGCACATCGATTTTAGGGTTTTCAAGCCTTCTGAATTTAAATCTTTAGTTAAAAATATTTTTGGGGGCGTTTTGGAGGAGTGGGGGGTGTTTTTAAGGGGTTAGTTTATATATTTTTTCAATATTAACGTGTCGTACATCGATTTATATGTTTTTATGGATAAGGATCCCGAATTCCATATCAAAATGGTTATTCAATGTTAAAAAAGTAGAACGACGCCGACAGACGGCCCGAAAATAACATAAAACGCGCGCCCGCGCTGCACAACGACATCATTTTAATAAAAAGATAATAATTATAACAAGTGGGGTACGTCTTTTTATAGGTTTTTTGGGGTGGAGATTACAATTTTGATGTCAAAATATGATTATTAAATAACTCCTAGAAAGATATACAAGATAGCGTCCAAATTTAGAAAAGTTTACCATTTACTGCAATACCCTTATAATACCTTATATTCTACTACCTAATACCTCTACTAATATCAAAGCAAAAGTTTTGGTTACTTTAGTAATAATTTTCACAGTTACAATATTAACTTTTTGCAGCATTTGTCTTTTCAGTAGCGGAAGTATTGAAATACGAACTATCTTCGGCGCCTCCTTCAATGTTTAATGATGATGGATCGATGAAGGAGACATCAACAAAATCGGTTCTTATGAATTCACTGGCTGTTTCCCAGTCTATGAGACTAAATACTAGACCGTCTTTAACAATAATTGATGGATGTGCAATGCTTTGGGTTACACTGGCCAGTTCGAGAAACCGTTTCTGATGATTACCTAAAACTCTTTGTTGATAAACTTGTTGCTTATTTACGAGAAGCAGATGTGATTTTAATTTTTGATAAATAGGTACTACGATTACAATACTAAATCATCCACTAGAACCAGTCGAGGAAAACATTCTGCTAGACGTTATGTTCTAACAGAACAAACGATACTTCCCTCTCAACCAGTAATTTTGATTTCTCCCAAAAATAAATGGGGATATTTAGGTAGGGGTATATTGGACTAGATAGTATATTTTTTTACAAGATGGGATATGTGGGATGGGGATATTTAAGTAACGGTATTGGAGTAAATGGTAAACTTTTTAACTCTAAATTTTGACGCTATCTTGTATATCTTTCTAGGATTTATTCAAAAATCATTTTTTGACAGCAAAATTGTAATCTCCACCCCAAAAAACCTATAAAAAGACATATCGCACTTGTTATAATTATTATCTTTTTAATAAATAGTTATTTATATAACAAGAGCGCGAAGTTCAATTTCGCGCATTGAGACTGAAGGTATTTTGACGAGGCGAAGCCGAGTTAAAATATCAGTCAAATGCGCGAAATAACTTCGCGCTAGCGTTATATACAATATTTTTTCTACAACTGAACCGATTGTTAATTAAATTGCTGTTTAAGTTCAACTTTTTCCCGTGCGCGAAATACTTTTTTTCACTGTTGACGATTTCGCGCACGTTGTCAATAGCAACCTTACCTATTAATTAACCGTTTAAAAATCTAGTCGTTTCGAAATCCGTCAGAAAATGACACGTTTTTTTGACAGTTGTAGAAAAAAGATGTTGTGCAGCGCGGGCGCGGCGCACCGCGCCCTTTATGTTATTTTCGGGCCGTCTGGTCGGCGTCGTTTTACTTTTTTAACATTGAATAACTTGCTGTACCTCCATTTTGATATGGAATTCGGGATCCTTATCCATAAAAACATATAAATCGATGTACGACACGTTAATATTGAAAAAATATAAAAACCAACCCCTCAAAAACACCCCCCACTCCTCCAAAACTCCCCCAAACATATTTTTAACTAAAAATTTAAATTCAGAAGGCTGAAAACCCCTAAAATTAATGTACTACATGCCCATATTTTTAAAAAATTTAATTTTTGTATTTTTTGCAGACATTTTTTGGCGCCATCTTGAATTGCTCAAAATGTTCAAGGGTGACAGAGTGGCATCAAAAGGATTCTCAAAGTAGACATCCTTACGAACTAAAAACCGTCAAAAAACCTTCAGCGTACCTCACTTCCAGGTTAAGCCAAAAATCCCAGTTTGGCATCCAGACTAAGATGCCGTCTTTGAATTCGTCCGCAAATTCAGCTAATTTAAATCTTTCCTTCTTCAGATAAAGCTATTCCTATTCATTTAAAGTACTGCTTAACCATACTTTTTTCTTGCGTAAACTTTAGGTACTTTAATTTATGAAATTGGAATACAAAATCCCCTTAGCTCATCTAATTTCCTGTATGACGTAAATCACTATGCCGCGCCGCCTATAGTTTTTATCCGATTATCCCTAAATGCTCTAACCTTAAAATTCGTGACTGCCTCCATATAGCTTATTCTACTATTACAGGTTGTGTTAAAGTATAATCCCGAGGGGTGGCCCAGACCAAAAAACCGAATTCTCAGGTACAATTTTAATCGACCTTTTCTGTTTTCAGGGGTGTTAGAGTGGCTTCTAAAATTATTTTTCGTACTTCCGGGACTAAAGTAAGAACTTCACTGAAGTACTGAAGTGTCACTCTTTGTCCCGCCGGGATTAAATTTTACGAAAATCCCGGAAGGATGAAATTACTAACAAAGCAATTTCAGTAGGTTGTTCCACATTTTTTATGCGGCACTACTTCTTAAACGCATCGTACTGCTGGTCATATAGTTTTTTGGATTTCGGTGGTATCAATTTCTTTACCTACTTTGGCTGCTTTTTATCAATATCAAATACACCTTTGTCACCCACCACCAAAATTATGACCCTAGATGACAGTTCCTATGGTAACTTGTTAAGCAGCGATTTTTTGAAAGAACGCGTTCTCTAACTCCATACATATTAAGTGTTTCGGTTTCGGAAGTACGAAAAATATCGTATATACCTTGCGACTGAAGTAGTGGTCTTCATCCCTCAGGTAAATTATGGCCCTCCCTTCGGTCGGGCCATACACTTTACCTTCGGGATTAAAAGTACTACTTCAGTTCCGCGGTATATAATATACTATTATTTATTATTGTGTCTGTATTGACACAATAAACAGTATTAATTCTTCAAGGTATCTTTCCAGAAGCACTGAAAACTGCGACTGTAATACCAATGTTTAAATCAGGTAATCCCACAAACGTTGAGAAAACAGACCTGCCATTTCTTTGTTGAGCACCCTCCTCTAAAATTCTTGAAAATATAGTCAAGAAAGGATTTTTAACTTTCTTATAGATGAATAATTTTCTATATAGGGCGCAATTTGACTTTAGGAAAGGTCGTAACACAGAAATGGCACTCTGAAATTTTTTTTAAAGAAATTTATGAAAACCTAAACCTTGGGCATAGCGTCACTGGAGTTTTCCTCGACATTCGCCAGATACTACTGATTGGAATATTAAAATTATTTAAAACAAAATGAATGGACGCTAAGACTGAGGTGGTAACCTAACACTCAAACTGCCGTACGTATCAATATCGAATTTTTGAAACATCTCGAACTACAAAAAACTTCTTATAAAAACAATGTATAGAAAAAATCATTACGAGAAAAGTGACATCATTTTTCAGTATTGACACAATAAACAAAAAAATGATCTTGAATTAAACATTCCTATCGTTATCTATTAAATACTTACACATACTCTTAGTAAAATATTTTTAGTACTTGGTTATTTGTTATTAACACTACTGAAGCGCTTTTCAACTACGAGTATCATAATCCACAGTGACCTCAGTGGCCCCCTGTCCATGACAAGACGTTTCACATGGTAAAAAGTGAATCGAGCCAAAAAATCGTGCGCTCTATGATTCATATAAAGACTCACCTTAATTCCTATCTGCTTATCAGTCGCGATAACAAATAAAGAACAGGTTGATAAAGTACGTTATACCTATACGTTGTAATTTTAAGCAAGTAGGTTTGGATCATCGCGCTTTTAATTCATGATCAGTGCAAAGAGTAAAAATGTGCAAATTTAAGTTGGTGTTTTTGTTTTTGCTAACTGTGCCGTGTGTATTTGGACAAGATGATCAGGAACATAATCCGAACGATGAAGTGGAGTTGACGGCTACACACAACGGGCATCCTGGCCCTTCGATTCAGGACAGCCAAGGTTGGTGTGATGCAGTCTAACGGTTTGATAGGTACTTTACTGCGATTTCAGATGATGCTAAACGCAATGAACAGCCCCCTTTTAAGCCAAGAAACCAGCACGATGTTGACGAATCCAATGCAAAGTATACGGATTACACGAATTGGGGTAAGTGTACTTTTTCGTGTGATGTACAAATTATGAATCACATCAGCCATCTTGTTATAGTTACAAGGTGTGGTCTAATTGATTATTAGGATTATTAGAAATGTTCAAGTCGCTTATACTTTTCGTGTCATTATATCTAACACATTTTGTTGATGTTCAATGTCCATTTATTTTGGACGTGGTCCCGTTTCCCTGTACGATGCCTAGCTCTAGCTATACTATTTGAACAATTGCGATAAGTGATCCATTGCTCTCTTCATTTTTTCAGAATTAAGCAGCGAGTGCGTGTGAGTAATGGTTGATTCATGCAAACTTTTTTGATGAGAGGTGAGGGGGTGTTTAATTGCTTTTGCATAAATACCAAAACTGATAAGATAAGGTATCTGCGTGAAAAAATCGGTCTGTACGAATCGAAATGGTAGTCAACAAATAGTTTTTTTAACAAGCACAGCAGCAAAATGCTTTTTGGGTCGGTCAGACAGAACGGACGGATAGAGTCAAAAATCATGCTCGTTAATAATAATTGCAAAAATAGTCTTATTACCGTTGAATTTGGAAGTTGTAACGGTCCTCACGCTAAAGCCCCACTCTTGGATGACATTTTGTAACGGATAGTTACAAATAAAAGGTGGTAATTCTGACCCAAGTAAGGGTGTAAATTTGTATTGATATCTTGCAGAGGGTTGAATATTTTCTCAGGTTCGTGTTGTAAATTCTTCTGGTAATCTCTTCGTCTTGCTATGTTGAAATATTTGTGGAATTTACATTTTTGGTACTTTTTACTTCCAGCTAGCTAAGGTAAAAAATGGTATAAAATTAAGAAAGAATTCAGATCATTCCACTTTCACCGATATCCCATATTAATTATCAATACCTAAAGTGTAATCAAAGTTTGGAAATTTATACTCCAATATGTTTAGAAGATTTTATGTAATTCTCAGATGTCTCTTTGACCAAACTTTCTTTACTTTCCCTTATACTTTATAGAATAGCAATAATTCCAAAAAGTTAATAAAAACATTTGTTATTATTACATTTTGAAACAATGAAAATAAAATTAACCTAATAAACAACTAGACGAATTACCTCTTTTTGCAATTGAAGCAAATCGCTTACCTCCACCGGATGGTGCTTTTCACGGCTCGTATCTAATTTTTCACGTGTCTACTTTCTGGAAGATTTGATGTAGTGGTTTCGTATCCCGGGAGCTGTACTGCTTTCCTTGATTTTGGCTGGATATCTTCTTTGTAGAAATTTTCCAAAATTTAATGCTGATCGGTGCATATTTAATGCGGGCTGGTTAAAAAGAACGCAAGCTGGTTAACCAAAAACAACGCCAGCTTCTTTTCTATTATCACAATCAATAGAAAGTTTTATACTTTGCTCGAGGCAGTTGACGTAACTGTTCTTACGCAGATTTACCGATGCTTTTGGCTAGTTCTCGCCCAAACAAAACTTGTCACTATACTTATTTACGTAAATTCGACTTTTAATTCAACTAACCCTTGCTACCGCTATTAACATTTACAAATTCGTAACGCTAATTTTTGTTCATATGCAAATCTTTACGTGACCGCGATTACAGAGCGAATGCTACTCAAATGTTTCCCCGCGCACTCCTTAGCAATACTTTTCAAAACTGCCGATCGAAATCCCTTGCTTGGATCTGATCTTTATCAATAAATGAAATAGAAATCTGTTCAGCTTCAAAATTCGAGAAAGGAATACTCGAGATCGTGGTTACTTATACACAGAGGTAAGATACCACTGTTCCACTATATTCGGTATTAAATTTTCCCCAATTTATGTACTAGTTTTTGTTGTCAGCAAGGTGCACAAATTAATTGTCTTGAACGCGCCTTTACCGTATGCCGTTAAACACAAAGGTTTATTTCCAATTCACAACCTTGCTACGAATCAGGCCGCTAAAAAAATTTTCTTCGCCCCATAATCTACTGCAAGTCGTATATAATAGCCTATCGTTATATATAAAATTTCTTCATACGTGTGTTTGTGACTGAACGCCACGTAAACGGCTGAAAGGATTTTGATTAAATTTTTTTTGTCCCCGGATGGTTTAGATTCAATTGGGCCCGATCGGATAATACAATTTTTTTAAACACTTATTTTTTCGTTGATTTCGCACTCTGCTATTTTGCGACTGATCATACGCCAAGTCACTTGTGTCCTACCGTGCGGATGTGTTTAGATTTTTACATTGTGTACGCGTCAAAAGTTATAATAAATCTTTAACACGCGACGGACAGGCAGGCGAACAAAACGCAAACAATATCCCATTTTTAAAAATTAAAAAAAATAATTTTAAGCTGATTTTGACGCGAAATGTCAAATTTGAACTCTGAATATTGTATATTTCGAATTTTAAATGGTACACTGTGTATATTTTTAGCGCAGGAGTTTAAAAAAAGGGGGGGAGGGGCGGAAAACACACGTTCTACCCTTCATGGTATTCTAAAACGCTTATAGTGTCTCTCAAATTCACAATTTTGCGTCAAGATTTCAGCTTGCAGAAATTTTTTGGACTGTGCCCACGGTCCATATTTTAAGCATAACGGATGGTACACACATAATTTTAGACGACCCAAAAATTGCGCTCAATTTTAAAACTAAATAAATTAAACAAGTATAGCAAACGAGCTCCTGGGTATGGCTACAGCTTAACATGGCGTATTAGATGGCTAAAACTATGCTCATTTTGAAGTTCATGTAATTCGGTTCATAACTAACGGAGATGTCAAAAGGGCCTTTCTTATTTATTGGCCTACATTGCCATTTCAAGAAGTCCGATCTAAAAATTTGATAAAGAATCGACCTGCAAAATTTCATCGTAGTCGGTCCATTCGTTTTCGAAATGTGCTAACGAACAGACGGACAGACAACGCAACATTATTTCTTATTGTTGCTCATAAAAGATCATGTGTACAATTGAATGTTCAAAAGTCAATCACTTTTAGCAGTCACCTTATATACTCGATTTTACCTCATAATTAACCGAAGCAAAATTTCTAATTTCCAAAAAAGACACCTCGCGTCGGGGGAATTTCTCCGAATTGTCAATAGATAATATTTTGATTTTACTATTATGACCTAGCCAATAGTGTTTGTAAAAATGTCCAAGAGCAAAAATAAAAGGTGAACAAAATAAAAATGACTTACATGAGAATCGTTTCTTTTTTCTAGACTCACTAACATCTCGATACGCGCCCCCTCAAGAAAGCCAAAGAGGTGGAATTCCATATTACGTAACGGAGCAGAGACTAAGAGAGATTCGAAAGGAGTTCATGTACTGGTACTTCGATTTAGGCGGAGACGGCGACAACATCGGCGACTGGCAGAAAACAATACAATCATCTAGTCCCCAAGTGCACAAAAATTTAAATTTCCAACTGCCATTCTTCGGCTTCAGATTTAACTACACCAGAGTTTCGATCAATGGCTACCTCGAATTCAGCGATCCGCCGGAAAATTACCCCGCGTACCCTTTGGTGTTTCCCGTTAAGGATTGGCCTAAGATGAACGACCCATCGTTTATGGGAATCTTCTTCAGCAAATGCCGCATCGGGTCACTACGCACCGAAGATCTCGACAGAAGAAAGCCGGGCGTTTATTTTAGGCTCGAACGAGATCTTCAGACGCGTATCGATCAGCTTGGAGTTGAGATGAGGGAACGGGTTAAGTGGGATATTAGGGAGGGAATGATCGGTGCGGAAACCTTCAATCCGAAGCACGCGATTATAGTTACGTGGAAGAATATTTCTTTTGCCGGTGGTATTCCCCAGGCTTTGTATACGGTGAGTGAATTAAAATTTAAAGTTAAAAAAGGTAAAATTGAAAAAATAGTAGCGTTTCGGCAGCAAAACTGTGATCATCAGCGGATCACCTAGTACATACTATCACCTATGCACATTTCCCAAAAGTCACGGTATGGAACTACCTATAAGTTTTAAAAGAGTTAAAAAAAATCTGAAAATGTCGGGGTCATAATAACTACATTTTAGGTGGTTTAGAACTTTCATACACTGGGGATTTTTTTAGGGGTTGATTACCCCCAAGTTTTTAAATTGCAACACCTGTCAAGTTTCACGTTATTTAAAGTAAAGGTAATTGAAAAAGGAATATATCCCTTTCAATTACCTTTAAAATAAGGCGAAACTCGACAGGTGGTGCAATTTAAACATTTTGGGGTTATCTCCCCCTAAAAAAACTACCCGGTGTATGAAAGTATTAAGCCATTAATCTAATAACTAATACTATTAGATTATTATTAGAAGCCATTTAGATTGTAGATTTATGACCCTGTATTGATCCAAAAATTTTCAAATATTTTTCCTTATTCGTTTGAAACTTGCCCTGCCCGTGGGAAACCTTTTATAACTAACTTGAAACTTCAAATCTAGTTTTTATATATCTTTAGTTTGCCCAATAATACTTGATCCGCAATCCTTGCGCCCCTGCTTGCGCCTAACTTTATATATTCCCGATTTAATATTTATTATATATTCACCTTTCTAATAAGGTAGTGACAGTTTTGAATTCCAATTTTGAAAAGATTTTTGATCTTTAGATCGTAGCTTCCAAACGACGCGTGTTGGGCCCTTGATCTATTTAGGAAAAATTATTTGTTTTGGCCCCTTTACCACTCATTAACTTGGTTAACTCTGATACCTTTTTCAACATTTTTTTTTAAAAGAAAGGAAAATCAGAGTTGATACGTTAATGAAACGTTTTTTTTTTTAAATTAACAGCCAAATTTATTAAAATGGAGAACAGTTTTTTCAGAGAAAAGGTGAAGCAAATCCAAAGAAAATTGTTTTAACAATGTAGACGATGGATATTAAGAATATGAACTTGGTTGTAAAAAAAGCGCTCGATATATCCACCCCCAAAGCAATTGCTCCCAATAAATACTTACCCCGATATTCGACCGTGACGTTCATCTCGGCTGGAACACTCGTTCAACATAAACTTAATTACACTTCATGGGAAGTTCACATTTAGTGCACCTCGATCTCGAAGAATTGCCCTTAAAGCTACAATATTTAAACTCTATCTTTATAACAACATTCGCCCCTAAAATTGTTACCACCCAAAGAACTTCACTAAGCGGGAATACTTTCGTCACTTAAATCCCCTGCTCCAAGGGAAATTGACGTTAAAAGCATGTCATTCTTGGCGAATTAAGATAGCTACCTCTACGATTATCCGGTATGTACTCAGTGCCAAAATTTCTACCTATTTTTGTGACAGTCCCTAAAATTCTTGTCCAACAGAAAATTGGTCTCAGCTCAAAATACTCGTTCACCAGAAGCTTACATATGTTTCAAGAAAGCTCACGTTCACAATAGCTAGATTTCGAAAAATTGCCCTTAAAAAAAGACGCTCACACACAGAAGAGCCCAATCTCGAAGAATTGCCTTTACGAACTCCCGTTGGAAATGATCGCTATATACACAATTCCAGATTTCTTTCTATTTTATCTATCTTAAGATAAAAATTTACATTAAATTTAAATGGGGATTACATTTTTGTAGGCTTTATGTGATATTTCGCGATGTATAGGATTGAAAATGTTACCTCCCTTCAAGATCAGAATCGATACGTTACCTCAATTATACCTTTAAAACTCGTGCAAGTGCACAATTGAAATAATGTAACGGTTTATAATATTAAAGAAGATTGTAGGACTTATTTCTGAACGAGGGAGCCCTCGTTCCCCTCAAAAGTCAGAGATAAAGAGGCCCATTATCAACATTCCAGAAACGGTAAGAGATACAAATTTGGTTAAATGGGAGAAAAGTTGCGCAATCAAATTTTTCTTTAAAAAGTTCAATTTTTCGATTTTACGAATTTCTATTGTTAATACTTGACCTAAAGCAAAACCAATGTAACTTTTAATGCTCTTAGTGACGTTATTAATTTTTTAATCCGACGATTTGTCTTTGCAGAACCATCATCAACTCCATTGTTTAAATACGGCCCTCAGTGGCAGATTTACATATAGGCACACTAGGCACGTGCCTAGAGGCGGCAGCTTTAGGGGGCGGCATTTGGTTGCAGTATATTTATTTTGGATAATATTTTAAGTTTTAAAATAAGTCCCCTAACAAGTTACAAATGAAAAAAAATTTAATTAAAATTATGAAATAAATTATTGGAATTGGTAGTAAGTTTAAACAAACTTAACTGTAAGAACGATAATCGAGAATGTAAGTTATGACGTGTGTGAAATCGTAATCTTAGGTATACTGTACTTCTTAAAATTGATTGAAATTTAAAGATTATTATTGGAGGGGCGCATATGTTTCGGTGTGCCTAGGGGCGCATATGTTTCGGTGTGCCTAGGGGCGCAAAAAATTTAAATCCGCCACTGACGGCCCTGATATTCCGATAACATATTCTTAAACCTTTTTTATTCTGAATTGAATGATGCCCCTTTATGGTTTAATTGCGCTTTAGCCTTTTTTACCACCCGCACGTTAGTAAGGGAGGTAAGGCATTGAGTAAGAATAACCCCCACTTTTTTTTTACGGAAATACACGTTTTGAAGCACCAGGAATCCGAATTAAACAAAATCTCGATGAAGTCGGGCTGTCGGTCCGTCTATACTCTCATTTTCGGCTAAACGGCTGAACCGATTGGAACCAAATTTAGACTTAGACATGAAAGGAAGAGCTGAAAAGATTTTGGACAGATGCGTACGCAGCTGTGCGAGTGGTATCTGCGCTAGCCACAGGAATTTTTTTGTCTAAGTGTCTAAGTAAGCCCGCATGGAAAGCACTCTGAACTCTTTATAGCTGAAAAGCGGCGACCACATCAAAATGACGAACCATATTTTTCAAAATAACGTGCGATGAAAAATGAGTTGATTATTATTAGACCTTTGATTGCGCAACTTTTCTCCCATGTAACTAAATTTGTATCTTTTCTAGAATGCCCATAGTAGCCCTCCTTATCTTGGACACAATGTATATTGGGCAAACTCAAAGCAAGGGAGATCTGACTCATTTACAATAATAAATTATGAAAACGTTCAAGTTTCAAGTTAGAATAATTTTCAGTTTGATCCACCGATGATGACAGATACGCTGCCCAAAACGTGCCCAAATAAGAACGCTCAATTTTACTATTGGTCTCTTGTTTTAGCCCTATTTTTTCTATAAATGCAATTTTAGACGAATACATTTCAACTTGTGCTTGCTACCGATGAAGTATTCACTTACGCGATTTTCAATTATTTGGACTTGCAATGGACTAGTCACACTGAAGCTTTGGGCGACACATTGAAAGGTGAAGGTGGTACCCCTGCGTTCATAGGATTTAATGCGGGAAATGGCACGAGAAGTTATGAGTACATGCCGTACAGCCAAGCGTCCGTGATCCGTGATCTAAGTGGGCGCGGTTGGGGAAACGGCTTCAAAGGCAGGCACATTTTCAGAATTGACGAAAACATAATAGTGGGAAGCTGTAACAAAGACATTGGTAAGATAGGTTTGGGTGGTTCACCTTTAGTCACATGCACTATTTTCAGACGGAGCCAACTTACCCCTGGTGTTTGCTCCTGAAAGCGGGAACATGTTGGGAGGCACCATGGTGAACATCACCGGTCCATGCTTTGATCCGAATGATAAAATTATATGCAAGTTTGATGTGGAAGACGAAATCTTTGGTACAGTTGTCGACAGCAACCGAGCGGTGTGCATCCAACCACGGTTATTCGTGGAAGGATACGTCCGCCTTGAGATAGCAATCGGTCCCGGAAAATACAAATGGAAAGGCAAATACTTTGTTGGTACGTACGCGTACTTTGCGTTACTATATCCGCGTAAAAAACTACTTTCTGTTTAGAAACTCCGGCAACAGCAGCAGAAAAAATCTTCTTTGAGGACTACTCGGTGCACGAAAAGTACCCTCCAGAAATTAAAATCTCTTGGGTCAAATACAATTTGACCACCAACGAAAACGCAAACATCCGCATATCCCTATGGGGTTATAGAGAGACGACCATAAGACCCGAATTTCTTTACATCGACGAACTTGCGACCGGAATCATGAATACGGGTCGACACGTCATAACCCCAGGCGAATTTAGGCTGAGAGACAACAGAAACGTATCAGACATTAAATTTGGCTTCATTCAAATTAATCTAACCGAACCGATTCCGATCGAAGGAACGTCGACTAGAATAACACCCTTGATTTGGAGTAGACCTATACCGTTAGGTTGGTATTTCGCACCTCAGTGGGAAAGGGAGTTCGGGCAGAATTGGCCCGATACTTTGTGCGATAATTGGATACGTAACGACAGATACCTGAGAAATTTTGCCAACGAACTCCCCCAATGCCCTTGCACCTTAGAACATGCTTTGTCGGATAAAGGGAGATATATGCCCGATCCTGATTGCGACAAGGATGCCAATCCCAAATGTGAATATCATCGCGGAGCCGTGCATTGTGTGAGAACCGCCTCGCCCACGTAAGTACCTACACTTCTTGTTTGAGTGAATCTTATTGGCAAAATTTAGGTTGGAGGGTTCAGAGCAGCAGTGTTGCTACGATAAGAACTTGTACCTAATGTTGTCTTATGATCAGCAATGGGGGTCGAGTCCGCATCGTTCTCATAACTTGGGATACCTCCCTTGGAATGAGGCAAATAAAGTACCAACACTTTCTCATTGGTTCCACGACATGGTGCCCAAGTACCTGTGCTGCAGGTGGCAACACGAACAAGCTGTAGGTTGTGAAACTGTACGATTTGAAAGACGGCCGACACAAGATTGCGTCGCATATCAACCACCGGCTGTCGGGGGCGTTTTCGGTGATCCCCATCTTATCACCTTCGACGACGTCACCTACACTTTCAACGGAAAAGGGGAATTTGTGCTGGTTCGTAGCAATACCATCCAAAATAGGTTGGACATTCAGGCGAGGTTCGAACAAATGAATATGAATGCCTATGGAGAGGTAAAGGCGACACAGATGACATCGGTTGTTGCGAGAGGTAATTTATCAACCATTGTTGAGGTCAGAATGAGACCTCAAGAAGCGCAATGGCGTTATCGTCTTGATGTGTTCGCCGACGGGAGAAGGATTTACTTTGACCGTCCTTCCATCAAATTCCAACACTTCCCAGGTAAGTTGCGATTATTTCAAATTGAGTGACAAACACTGAACCAAAAACACCAAGAAACTACTAACTACAGTAAAATCTAAACTAATTTACTCTTACTATTTACTACCTAAACCACTATACAGTGATTTTCAAAAACGCCAGTATATGTCCTTTAAATTTGTGATCAGTGGCCGTAGTTCTGCAAAGTGAAGGAGGCAACTACTAATTTTCGTTACATAGTGGAGATACACTTCTTTTTTATTATATTACATAAACAAATTTAATAGCAAAACTGAAATTAAGGAAAATAGTTGTGCTTTAATTAATCTTATAAATTCACTAGTTTACGTTAAAAGAAAAACGTTACTCTTTTATTAGTTAATGTCAAAGCCATTTATTGTATCAGGAAACATTAACAATTTCTAATTAAATTTATATACTTAAAAATTTATTTACAGTGGCGTGCGTCTACAAAACTAAGAGGGCCACTTTTTTAATGGAAAACGCCATTTTCAGAATGAATATGACAACATAAAAAACATGATCAAACTAGAAAAATTATTCAAAAAATTGTACTACTTAATAATATGTATATGAAAAGTACTAGTTAAAAATATTTGCCCCCCTTGACCATGCAGCAGTGGATTTTATAATTTTGGATACCATAAAAAGCTTTAAAAAAAATGTTTTGAAGATGTATCCAGTTTTCCAGAGAAACTGTTCACCCTGTATAATTTCAACCGGTTTCGTGGTGTGTATAAATACAGCAAAATGAATTGATAAGTACCTATACATTTTGTGGCCTGCCATTTTTCATAATGTTAAAGGTATGGCCTAAATGAAATTAGTTGCATTGTGTATGATGAATTTTCGCCGGAATTTTCCTACCGAAAATGTAGCATCAGTAATACTTTTGCGTGGAGGCCACATTTTCTAAAATGGTGTGCGAGAGTTAAATTGGTGAGTTTCAAAATCGCTGTATGGTTTGTATGGTTCATCGGATAAACAACAATTGCTTTTTCAAATATACAGTACAGGAGTATGAATAATAATAATCTTTATTGTCCATACAGCAATAACACCAATATTGGACAACTTCAAAATGTTTAAAGAAACAGTAAAAACGTTGAAGTGCAATTAACTAAAAATAAAACTATAGAATTCTGTGACAACGAATAATGTTAATTAGATATAAAACTAAAGATCAGGTATATAAGTGAACGAAAATGTAATGTAATGCAAGTATGCATACCGATGCGGCGATTCGCACGTCCGTTCCGCTCCCAGTCCCGTGCCCACATGTCTGCGTCGGTTTGGCTAGGCCTTTAGAGTTTCAATCAGAATTTTCAAAAATGAATTGCATATTGCATATTAAAAGACCATCTCAAATTTCGTCCAAATCAGACTTTTTTCTCAGCTCGGTCTTCTGGAAAGAATTTAAAAAAATTATACTATCCAAAAACGTGTCATCCTTTGTAATATGTCTTATGGATCTTCATTTTTTAAGGGTAGATTCCAAACAAAATGTTTGCGAGCCTCGATTTATTTGAAAAACATGGTACCCTCTATTAGCCGATTTGGCACAAATCAAATGTAACACCCTGTTCTTTTTTAAATAAAAACAAGTTCGATTCATTACTACACTATATAGTTAGTTTTCGTTATGAGAAGTGCAAATAATTGGACGTAACAAATTAACAATACTTACTTGCGCTATCAGTACCTATTTTTGGCTAGGGCGGGGCTCTAAGCCCTCACTACTCTTCTACAAAATCTATTTTTAATAAATTTTTATAAATTGTGGTTAATGTAAGGGATGGTTTCACTGTTTGTCCCAAAATTTGTAGACAGGGCGTTGTACTTCAGCAAGAAACAGTGTTGTCAAAGAACGTCAGGTTTACGTCCAAATTTAAACAAAAAAAACTTGTATGTATCTGTCAAATAAGACAAAGATACTGAACAGTTTCAGTTTCAAATTTCTCAAATTGAGTTAATGACCCACAATTTTTTTGTTCTAAATGATTGATTTCCAAACTGGTTAAATTTCAGCAACTCGTTGTACTATGGTGAGTGTGTCGCGTCAGACACTCTCAGATTCATTTTAATATAACGAGTGATCCAAAAAGGATTGACGTCGAGTGACCTTTGGAAGTTCAAGTTAAATATGATTTCGGATGTAAACGAAAATTTCAAGGTGACTCGATAGCAACTCTTTTTTGATCGCGTAGTATTAAATAATAATTATTTTTTACTTACATGCGATTCGTACGTGTAGGTGTAGTCCGCCTGAGCGCCGCACTTAGACTGCGCGTCCTTGCGGTATCAAACGCTTCCCCAACACAATGCACGCCTCCAAATATCCTGATTAATGATTATGAGTCAAACAATTCAATGATAATCGCCATTCAAAATTTGTTAGTCACCGTTTGTTAGCGTACCTAACTTCAATTGCAGTTGAATTAAACTAAATTGCCGAAAAATTGCAAAGATCCCCCATTCTCGTTTATTAAAGATCCTCAGAGACGCTATTGATTTTCAGCAAGGTAGCTCAAAAGGAACAAAAGTTATAGGACTTCGAGTGAATCGGGAACAGGAAAAACTGTGGGCCAATATAATAGAAAACAATAAACTGCCTATTTTAGCTATTTTTACGAGCCAAAGAAATGTTTGGACCACCTTCTCTGAGATTTGACCCAAATTTGGTATTTTTAAATGCCATGTACCTAGGTATCTCTTAATGCTAATTTTTGGCATCTTTTTACATTGATGTATCACAACTTATATTTTTTAAATTTTAGCCATGAACCAAAATTAAAAACCTTTTTTTTGGCCGTTTGTAAATAGGAGGCCATATATTCGTGGAGATTGTTTGTTTATTGCATCCATGGTAACTAAGACAGCCGATACCAATCAATAAAAATGCCTGGTCATTTCAAAAATTTGAAAGATGTGATTTAATATATAATTAGGTATATAAAGAAATATTTGTTGCGACTAATCAATCTGCTCAGAAAAAAGAATTCAAAAGATCAATTAAAAAATACCAATTTTGGGCCAATTCTCAGAAAGAGAATTCTGTTTGTGGTAGTAAAAGTTTCAGATAATTTTTAAATGATCCAGTAGGCTCTGGATGTATGTGGATAATCTCTTGTTTTTATTTGTCTTGACAGTTCGCATTTGAAATTGTGTCTTTGCATATGTTTACAAATTAAAGGTTTAAGTTGTAAAGTGTACGGCGAACTAAGCGTTTGCGGGCCTATGAAAGTTTAGTAATAAAATAAGTCAAAGAAATAGCCTCTCCCGCATTTACATAATATTTAGGAACACCCTGGATATCCTGTACCTCTGAAAAAATCGATTGAAATCATATATAAATAATTTGAATGAACGCCAATTTACACTAAATGGCGCCGTGGTCCATGGATGATTTATTAAACAGTATATCGCTTCTGAGAGTCACCCCATAGAACAGTTATAATTAACGTAATGCAGTCTTCAAAATGTTCTTCGGCAACTGGGAATAATTAAATATCACGGATTTTCATGATTTAAGTTGTATTTACGCTCTATAAAAATATAAACCTGTGCCGTTGGATACCTACTTATAATTTTTAGACGGTAAAAGTACCCCTTAAAAAAAGGTATTCTGTTTTGTTCTTTTATAACCTATATTTTTACTAAAAATGATTTTTTCAATAATTTGAGGAAAAACCATCTGAAAACGTGGTTGAAAAATTGACAACTTCACTTGCGGATAGGTCAAAAAGTATAGACAGTTACGTGAGAAAATTTCAGTATTTTCAGTAGTAGTATAGTAGTAATATCAGGTGGACCAACGTCTTGAAAGAACACTGTTTTTGGGCACTGAGTGTTGCGTAAAACGTAAATCATTTGTCAAAGCCCGCTAAGTTCACACAAGGAACTTTTAACCTGCTAAAGCCAATTTGTTTCCTCTACAGAATCAGTGAATGCGTTCATTTTTTTTAATTTGACTCTGAAGTTGTACAGAAAAATCCTTTGTAACTACTGTATGGTTTCTTGATCTTTTTGTTCTTGTCACTTCACCGGCCACAAGAGTTCCTGTATCTTTGAAATTTAATTAATATTTCAGGAGTCACTGTGTACACTCCCACATACATTCTTAACCAATCCGAGGTGCTCGTCATGTTCGATTCCGGTGCAGGAATAGAGGTAGTTGAAAACAAAGGTTACATGACTACGAGAGTGTACCTTCCATGGACATACATCGTAAGTCACTTTCAAGTGCTCATAAATTCGTACATATTTATTGCCTTTTTTTTAGAATAAAACTCGAGGATTACTCGGAAATTGGAGTTTTAATCCAAACGACGACTTAATTGACCCAGACGACCTCCAGGTATCTGTGCCTACAACCCTGGACGAAAACGAGAGATTGTATAACGAATTTGGCATGAAGTGGATGTTGGAAGACAAAGATGATCCCAAGAAAGGACAAGCGCTCTTTTTCAGGGAATACGCCCGTACCTCCTCGTACTACAACAATAAAACGTTTAAACCGGAATTTCGAATGATCGCTGAAGAAATAATACCGGGGAATATCTCGACGGAAAGGGATAACGCGTACAAATTTTGTTTTGACGATCCCCAGTGCATCTACGATTATGCGGTTACTTTAAACAGGGATTTGGCCCACTTCACTTTGAATTACAAAAGTTCCATATTGAATTTGAAAGAGATAAACAAAAAGAGAGTTATATCGTGTGGTGTTTTGGAGACGCCCAGATTTGGAAGAAAGAGCAACTTTATGTTTGTGCCTGGAACAAAGGTGACGTTTGAATGCAACCAGGATTTCATACTGGTAGGAGACCAACGGCGGGAGTGCATGCCAGAAGGCTACTGGGACGTCCCCACTTATGGCTACACCGAATGTTTACGTAAGTACTTTTTTTGTGTTTAATTTGCTTTGATTCAAAATACGCGTTCTAAAATTAGGGCAGCAAGAGTATTCGTCCCGAACGGCGGGATTAACCAGCGGAATAGTGCTGGCGATACTGATACCACTAGTTCTTTGCCTTGTGTACGCCGGTTTCCGTCTATTCAACAGCTACAATAAAAACAAAGACTCCTTGCTTTTTAATCCTCCCTCGCGCTCCGCCAGTAGACTAAAGCTAAACGAAGCTGAACCCATGATGCAAAACTCGCGCACCATAAGCCCAACGACCCCACCATCCGACGAATTTAACGAATACACCTATCGCAGTCCAGTGGGAAGCGATCGCAGCAGCACAAGCAGTGGTAACAGCAAGAAGAGGCGAAGTTATGAAAAAAGTTACAGAACTCACGAACCGCTGGAGGGCTTACCAGAAATTGACTTCGAAGACAAGGCCTGGGATCTCGAAGACCCGGAAACAGAACCGAAAGACAAACCGAATTTCAATCGGAGCGAAAGCGAGGGCCCCGTCTATTCGCTACCATTTCGGCTGAAGGAGCCGAATGCTGAACTAAGCTCGTCAAATCCAAATTTAATCGACAATAGATACGAACCACGCGCTAACCCGGCACTTAACAGAGCTGTAACTCAAAGTCAAAGTAGCGTCGTCACCGATGTTTAAATTTTTGAGGCATGTGGAATAGGTGTACTTATAGGAATTCCTTTTTATATCAACTGTAATGTAAATGTACCGTTAAGTTTATTAATAAAATATTTAGAACACAAGTTGACGAAAGGAAAGTGATCTATTCCACATGCCACACGCAATGCAAAGAAATATTGGTATCTTAGGGCTAGTGTGGAATCGAACATTTTCTGTATTGTCTTATTTTTCCTACTCAAAAACAGGTCAGCAAGAATACTCGTCGAGAACGGCTGGTTTAACTTCAGGAATAATAATCGCGGTCATTATTCCCATCGTTTTGGGACTAGTGTATGTCGCGTTTATGTTCCTCAAAGGCAAACAAAAGCAGCGCAACGAAGACGAGCGGGAACAATTCGCTTTCGAGGAGCAAAAAAGGTACCTAATGGGTTTTTTCGCTGGTCTAAGTTTTGATGGTAAATTTTTGTAATGTAGGAAAGCTCAAGAATCGGCAAGAATGAAATTAACGACCGCCGAAATGGACGACGACGACGAGTCCAGTGGTTTGACTCAGAAGAACCAGTTCAGCACGTTATCAACACATGACTCACAGGATTATAACACCAACAGTACGCACAAAAGTCCACATAAAGAGACAGATGTGTACTAATGTTCCTCTCCAGTGAAGGTTGTTTTTGGGGTTGATCTTTCATCTTACCGTTCACACTGGCATGCAGTTATCTGTCGGTTAAATTTAACTTAAAACTGAAAGACCGCCCTTTAATGTGTTTAGCCTTAGTCTCTCAATATAGGGTAATTAATTAATTATAATATACCATTTCTTTTGTACCTCCAAAAAGGTACTATATTCTGATTGTATGTCTGTAACATAAGTACAAATTTATTTCCAGTTTTAATAAATAAACATTTCTATTTTGCATATTTTATGTTTTCTTAAGGAGAGACAACACTTAGAGACTTAACTATAAGATAAAAGACTGATGGTTAAAAACGATTCTATATTTTGAACAATTGTGAAAGCTAGTGTGAAAGTTAAATCTAAACTTTTCCCATACTTTATGGTTTAAAATTTCCATAATTTACCAAAATGGCTGCCTGTTAGCACAATTTGTTTTCTACGCAGGATGGGAATGGGAAAAACTTCTTGAGTGTCTAGATTCTTCGCGCTCGTGCATTTTATCTACCATAAATAGCTAGTGTAAAAATTCAGTTTAGTAGTTTGTGGCACTGATACCCACTCATTCTGTACAAAGAGTTAATTTTTATATTGAACGTAGATATGGCTCCCATATTTTCTAAAATGGCAAAAGTTATGCATACCCGCCTAAAGTATTTAATAGGTACTTACTGTACTGTAAACGGTATACAATGCCAAAAAATGCACCAATAGGTATAGACAACGAGCGACAAAGTCACTTCCGTTTGACGAATATTGACCAAAATATAGGTAATCAATTAGTCCCTTGACCATTGTCTACCTATTGGTAAAAACAGAATTGGAAAATTCGAAACTGTTAGTGAGTTATCGTGTCCACAGACGGTCGGACGGACAGAAAGTCAAAAATCATAAACTCGCTTTTTATTAATGTGTGTAGTAATGTAGGTGACAAACGACGGCATAGATCGGCGCCTTTTTTCAGTCTTATTAGGTCGGTGGCATTCAATTGCATTGCAAGCCAAAAGACCAAATTTCAAGTGCCGCCTCGGAAAATACAATACAATAATTCGCGATCACGAGTGTTTATTAGTAAGATATTAGTAAAATTGTACTGTGCTTAAGATTTTTCAATTTTAATCAATCTATTTTTTACCTCGATCTCGAATAATTATTGTGCAATGTGCAATGTTGGTTTTCAATCCGACTATTTAAATTGTAGTGTAAAGTATGAATAAAAAGGCGGCAAATTCATTTTTTCATACAGGCGGTCGAGTATCTAGGAACGGGCCCTGCTTAAAGATCGCAGTAAATGTGAATCTATTGCGACATTCAAATTCAGAATATTATGAATTGTTGCAAGCCAGCGTCCAGTGACGTTATTAAATGTATTAAAAATGTCTATTCTGATATGAACCGACCCCCCCCCTCGCGCCTACATTACAAAAATCAAACCATGGGGGGGTGGAGGCCCTAAAATTGAAGTCGGTTTTTTTCCCATTTGACCTCAATTATCTCGTTGCTCCGAGGGAAAAAATTAATGCAAATGAATTTGTTTAGAATCGAATTTTCTGTAAGATACAGTTAGTATTGTCAAATGTATTGTTTGTTATGGTAAAATACAAAGAAAATAATCCAAAAATTAACAATGTTATTAGTAAGTAAAACTCATCCGATCTTTTTGGAAATCCGCCATTTGTGCAACTGCGCTGTAGGCTGGAGTTGCTGGACAAATAGCCCTATCCGATAATAGTTAGGGTCTAGACACATAAAAAAAATAGTGCGGATGTGTCGCGGTCGGGTCGTGGATTCAGTGGCCAGATTGATGAACTCACAATTGCTGTCAATTGTCACTCATTAGCCGATTAGCGTATCGGGAGGAGGACGAGTCAGGATCTGCCGAACCCATCCGCTATTGACTAGTGGGTTTGAAGTCCTAACACTCCTGAAAAGTCTAGGATAGGAAATGAACTCTTAAATACTCCTTGACCATTATTAGAAATTTCTAGATTTTCCTCAGGACTAGAAAAGCTATGGAAAGGATTTAGAATGCTTCAAGAAATCGTAACATAATCAGTGTGCACTCCCACCAAATGCTCTATCTATACTACAGCATTTAGAATACTGTACCAACCAACCTAAAAGGCTTTAAAAACTATGTGGCGGAGGGGAGGTGGAATGCTTTATAGCTAGAATAAGCGCTATAGAACACCCAACGTGTTTAATCTGAGAAGTATCAAAAGTCCCTTGCCTTTTCGTATTATTCCAAGGAAACAGAATCGGGTTTCAGAGGCTACTATAGCTTTACAGACCATTCCATGTATTGGATACCTATGTATACGCTATACCTACCTCAACAGTAGCTTAAAGTGATTAAAGAAAATCCTTTTGGAAAGACAGTAGAAAGGACTATCAAAACACATTTCCAGATACTTCACATAAATACTGATAGATATGTAAATTCTCAGGTAGACCTAGCAGTTCTTTCAAATTTCCAGATAGATGGTTAAAATTACAATTAAATCCGAGTTACCAAAAAAATTTTGCTGCAAGAGTTATTGCAAATTACTGCGTAATGGCTAATCGCAAGCATGTTAAGAGTCTTCTTTACCTAAGAGCAACTTTTTGACATAACATTGAATAAAAAATTAAGATTATAGTGTACAGATGATTATAGTTGCGAGAGAAATATTCTTGCTTTGTCAACTCCTGTTTTGGTCCTTAGTTCCCACCGACACTGTGCAGCCACTTCCCACACTCAAATTGTCGATTTACCACCGACCAAGATACAGACTTTATTTACAAAAAATATGGTTTATTTTTTTGGGGTAATGTTTACAAGTTACTTATCTAGAAAACTTTTGGTTTACTTTTTCCATAAATCGTCTTGATCGAGAGTAAAAAATAAAACAGATTAGCGCAATAATCGGTGCAAAACGTCTTTAAACAATCTGTATTGTTACTACTTTTTTAAAAAATAGTCCAAACATTTTGTAGATAAATGTCCAAATTTATAAGTTATTAAACATTTTTTTTAAAAACAACTAGACGGGCGCTCTTATGGAAATTTAATTGGGTGCAGTTGGTACAGAAGACTGTTAAATTAGAAAGGCTTGATGCTGGGGGCTTGCAAACACTTTTCTGAGTACATTATTACTCGGTTAGTTTACTTATCAAGATGTTTTCAGTCAGTAAAAAAAATTAAGAAAAGGTGGAAGAGGGGTTTAAAGTTCGAAGTTATAAACCCACACATCCATTTGACATTTTTTCTTTAAAATAAATATTTTAGTTCTCATCTTAACAGAGGTACCTACTTTCAAAATTGTTCCTTTTGGTGAACAGCTTTTGTTTCAGTTCAAACTTATGTATGTGAACATTCCATGGAGATTAACTGTGACACAAGTTTTATATTGGCATGAAAAACCTGCCCAAAGTATTTCTATTTACTGGCAATTCTCTTGTAAGTCTGTACTTTTTTCATAAAGTAAAGAGCTACAGTAGTACAGCCAGACAAAAATTACGAAATATAAAAGATAAATCAAATGTTCAGATAAGAATTTATTTCAAGTCACAGAACACAATAGTTTGTTTTTATGTAAATAAAATTAGATCAAAATAATGTCCTCGGATAGTTCAACTAGGTGAAATCACCACATTTTCTACCAGTCGAGATATCCAAAGAACATCAAACCTCGGCTATTATATCAGTTTGCTGAACACCCTCCATATTGAACCAAGGTTAAGTAGTGTTCTCGGTTAGTAAAACTTATACCGCATTAGTGCAATTGTCATGTTCCATTGCCCAATTAGGATGAGTACATGTGAAAGAACAAACCTTTTCATATGTGAAGATGCCTCTTAAATGCTTCTCCATGATTCAGCCTGAAAATAAGACATATTTCAGTAAAAAAATTAGATCAATTAATTTTAAGGAATACTGCATATTGAACTATCAGAAATTAATTAGCATCAAATGTTTCAGTTCGCTCGTCGCTACTATACTGTTGGTTTTCATCATTGTGCACTTAAAAGCCGCATTTTTAAACATTAATAGATATTCTACCTGATACAAACACTTACCATTAAAAGGTGGGGATGGGACCTGCAGTATGCAGAATTCTGAAACAAAATTTGAACTTCAAAACAATTCATAATAAAAAAATAATGGAAAAACTGAGGTTCACTTTCAGAAAATCTCTAGCCATCTTTACAAAGTTCTGGTGGAAACCGCGAAAGATTATAAATTCATCATGCAAACCAATGTTGACATAGTACAAAATGTAACTTTTTATAGAGTAATATCAAGTCAAAATATATGTTTAATTCATTATTTATGTAAAATGCTCACCATTTAAACTTTCTGGTCGCCATTACTCGAAGGAAGACCCGCAATCTGTAATTAAAAGGTGAAATTTGTTAAATCAATTTTAAAAAATGGGTAAATACATAAGGCTTTTTAAAATCAGGAATCTTAGGCCATCATTACAAAGTTCTGGTGGAAACCGCGAAAGATTAGATACTCATCATGCACAAATTTAATAACGGTGGAAATAACAAAATATAAATTGCTTACCGTTAAACCATATTGATTGATGCATGCCTCCAGGTGAAAAAGAATCAAAAATCTGTAAATGATAAAAATTGTAAAAACAATAAAACTAGGATAAATAGAAGAAAGCTATTGAAGTCAGAAATCTTAGGCCATCATTACAGTGTTCTGGTGGAAACCGCGAAAGATTAAAACTTCATCACAGTAGAGCTTTGCTAATATGACAAAAAAAAATGCGTTAATGCTTACCACTGAAGCAATCGATGGATGCTCCCAGTAAAAAATCCAAATTCTGTAAATAAAAAAACATTGAAACACAATTAAAAATAAAAATTTGTTTAAAAAATGGCTAGTTAAAATCAGGTATCTTAGGCCATCATTACAAAAGTTCTGGTGGAAACCGCGAAAGATTAAGAGTTCATCATGAAAACTAAACAAAAATGTATTAAAAGTGAATGCTTACCTTCTATGAATTGCTGCATGCCACCAAAAAGGAAGCTGAAATCTGTAAAAAAAGAATTCAATTAAAACATTTAAAAAGAAAAATTATTAAATAAAGCAAAGCTATTAAAAATCAGGAATCTTAGGCCATCATTACAGAGTTCTGGTGGAAACCGCGAAAGATTACAATTCATCATGTGAAATGAACTAAAATGCATTAATTCAGTGAAATTCTGAGAAGCCCACAATTGACTGCAAATTCATTGAAATATAAAAGGTACTCACCAATAAAATTATAACTCCAAAATGCAGCTGTAGCTAGATCCGAAATCTGAAATTAAAATTGGTGAAAACCATTACAACAATAAAGAAAACAACATCTAATCTCATAGGATGTATTCAAACATTAAAAACATCACTAATTAATAGCTTCCGCAGGACGTTGGCTTGTAACGGGACGATGGTTTTTGGCCAAATAGTCAGCAAACTCTTGATATGGAGTCTTCATTAGGGGCCTCTCCTCCCACAAATCGGGCGTAAGGTATGCGTAAGTCTTAGCAATGGCGGCATATGTGGCCTTTGCGAAGTTACCCAAAGTACCAGTTGATCCGCGTGCCGATGTGTAGCAATCTTCGATACCGGCCATTTGCAACAACTTCTTGGGCACAGGAGCAGATACGATACCAGTACCGCGAGGTGCCGGAATTAAACGCACCGAAACTGAACCACATTTTCCAGTGACCTATATAATGTTAAAATTAATTGATCATTCATGTTAATTATTTCAAGGTGTGAAGACCAAAAAATTAGGTGGTAGAAACATCCAAAGAATTTTTCTCAAATATAAAACAAAGAATCAAATTTGCACATTCAAGGGGATTTTCACCAATTTATCCTGGGATACTCCTAATCCCCCAAACATTCCCCTTACCTTGCATGGGACAGTGTGAGGTTTGCCGATCTTGTTACCCCAATAACCACGACGAACTGGTACTACAGATAACTTAGCCAAGATGATGGCACCTCGAATTGCCGTAGCTACTTCTTTACTGCACTTGACACCCAACCCAATGTGACCGTTGTAGTCGCCAATTGCCACAAATGCCTTAAAACGTGTACGCTGACCGGCACGGGTCTGTTTCTGTACTGGCATAATTTTCAAAACCTAAACAAAATTACCTACATCAAAACTACGCCACAAAATCAAAAAATGCACTTACTTCATCTTTCAGTGCCGATCCAATGAAGAAATCGATAATTTCATACTCTTTAATCGGTAACGAAAACAAGTAAATCTCCTCGAGCGTGTGGATTTTACCATCACGTACAAGACGTCCCAATTTTGTTACGGGAATCCATTCCTTCTGGTCTTCTTTGCCACGACCGCGGCCTCTTCCGCGACCACGGCCTCGACCACGTGGCCCCCCACGACCGCGTCCACCACCAAATCCACCACGAAAACCACCTCGGGCTGGAGCAGAGTCCGCCATACTACAACAAAAGTTAACCTTTACAAACACGTGGTCCTAACCTATACAAAATTACATAAATGTAATTATTTCCTGGTAGGCGTATACAGTAGGTACAAGAAAGCAACAAAGTACACGTATTTTAGATAAATAATAAGACCATATTTAAATAAATTCAAAATTAACTTACGTATCTTCTTCCTCCTAAGAACGGTAAAGGCAGAAAGATCGAAGTCCGTTGGGTCATTTTCATTTTATACTAACCGGAAGTGACATCACAGACGAGAACAGATGTTTGCCATGTTGTCGGACTTCTCTACTTTCGGTTACACAAAAAAGAGTCTAAAATTTGAACGATTAGCAAAAGCCAAGTGCAAATTTATTTAGCACACGACATTTTCATGAATTAGCTTACTGAGTTGACGATATTTTTGCCCCAAAAGTCCCTTGTGTTTGGATTATGAAAATAATCTCAAAAAGTTAGTATACATACAGTTCAATATTTATACAAACAGTAAAATTGATTAAAATGTCAACTCTACAGCTGTTCTAAATATAAGTAGCAATAATTAATTACCTTCAAAGATTTACGCTAAACACCAAAATGATAGACGAAACGGACAATACAGAAACAAGTAAGTACACCCAAGAGCAGAAAATAGTGGCGGCCGTTTGGGTGCACGAGAGATTTTTCAATAACCAAACATGGACTGACATAAATAGAAACTTTAGGGCCAGGTTTAATGTCTCACCACCCATGAGGGCGACGTTATTAAACTGGGAGAAGAAGCTTTTCAGTCAGGGAAACGTCGAGGACAAAGAGAAAAGTGGCAGACCTCTAGCGAGACTCATGCATGTACCCTACGTTAAGGCATCGCTGGAGGAGTCGCCCGAGCTTTCGTTAAGGGAGAGGGCAAAAATTTTGGGTCTACCACGGACCACCCTGCTGAAGATACTCAGAGAAGATTTGGATATGGAATTTGAGGTGGACGATGAAGGTCACAATGCCGATTCGAATAAGAGGCATTTACCGTACAACAATGGTCGGTGGAAGAAGAAGAGAAGTGAAGATGAATACGATATGTTAAGCGATAATGTAATCAAAGACGATTTAGAAAGCAAGTGTGATTAATTAATGAATGTTTTGTCAATTATTTTATGAGATTATATATATAATTATATTTGTTATTAAATATATTTGGAAAAAATCAGTTTTCTGTACATTACAATCCCACGAGTATGTTTTTTTTTTGATGAAAAATTTGTTAAGGGTACGTCTTTTAAAGAAAGTGTGGATATTCACTGTAAGGGTAATCTGTGATTATTTATACACATTTTAAGAACAAAAGGGCGAATAATTTTCCAGATTTAATGTAGAGCATATGTGGTCTTTCGACTCTAGCAATGATCACGCAAAAAATTGGGTCTACTGTGGGCCACTCTACTGAAAATATTCAGAAAAGATTTAGGATGATAGAGTTTGATGTGGACCCTGAAACTTGCAATGCAGATTCTAATAAGAGACATTTACCCTACAATAATATATAATCCGTGGGAAAAAGAAGTGAAGATGAATATAATTATATTTATATAACAACAAATGTAATTATCACACTAAATTCGGTAATATTTCTTAAAATATATTCATCTTCACTTCTTTTTGCCATGAAAAATAATACACCCACAATACTATACATGGTTCTAAATAAAAATATGAGAATAGTGCGAACAAAAAGGTACTGGACTCCGGAACGGTGAGAGATACAGTGTATGTTAAATAAATTAAATTGAAAAGATCAATTTTGTGAATATTGCACTCTCATATGTAGTAATATTGTGGGTGTTGGTGTTCATTTTCTAAGAATAGAAATACAACTCCTCAATGATTTCTAAATAAAAATTAGCGGGTGGTGAACCCTTAGATCATATATATTGACAATGATCTAGGGTGAACCAGCAGATAAGTGTGAGCGGAAATTAGACAATTGGAGGTTAGAGGCGTCTACGGTGGGTCTGTATATACCTACCATAACTACCATGAACCATCCTTGTGATACACAACTTGAACCATTACTTGCCCACTTCATGCTTGGAAAGAAAAAATCCCAGATTAAATTGGTTAATTTTTGTTGGCGATATCAAATTAATTCACGAATTATACACATCTAAAGAAAGGTTTTTTGGGGGAAAATAATTTTGAAGTTAGATCTTGGTACCCCCTCCCATTAGTAAGGACAGCATACAACATAAAAGGAAAAGGAACAAATTAAATGTTAGATAATGATATATTTGTGAAATTTTTGGGTCCTTGTTGTTTTTGTTGTCATAATATACACGTCACCTGATAATTATTACTAGAGTTACATATTTACAAGGTACTGTGGCAATATTATGATTTCACAAAAGGTCACTTTAAGTTACTTGGAGTTGTATGATTTAGACTATTGTTTTCCTATTTAGAGTTTTCAAGTTTGGTTACAAATCTATAAAAATTACATCGAGGACAGTAGGCAACAAATAAATACGTTTAGAATAAATATAAAATAAATAATATATTTCAAACAAAACAAACATTAATCAGTCGCAACATGAAATTTTTGTACATTTTCACGAGGTTGAAAAAGTCAACATGCCAATCGTTAACATATTACAAATTAAACAAAAGAAACATCACATGGCTTTACAATAGAAATAACATGAACAAAACAAAGAACCAATGATATGAATAAATTTCATTTTGCCATCTGTTAATCGTATACGCTCATTCTGATTTTGAACCATTGGTCCCTAACAATTTCATTTAGGAATTTATGTAAACTTTAGCACTTAGGCTTTGTAACCAAACTTTATTTTCGCACTGAGCATCAGAAATTTCACATAGATATATTCTACTATAAATCAAATTTGGGGGAAACATTTAAAAAATATATAAACAAATCACAAAATGTAACAGGTTTTAATCTCGTGAGAAATTTCATTTGCTGCAACAAGTGCCTAAAGTACTAAAAACATCCGTTATATTAATTTGAGTGTAATTAATACCAATTGTAATAAAATATAGGTACAAAATTATGTTTTGATTTCAATTCAATAATGGCCTTAATGAAAACATCTATAATAAAAATTTAATAATTTAAAATTTATAAAATATGATACATGATTTACATACAGTTACAATATGCACACTTATACTACAATATATGCAAAAAAAATAATGACTACTTTTGTATGTCCACAACCGGCGAGCGTTGCGCTCAAGTTGTCATAATTTGATTATCTAGGCCACTACTTCAGCGTTGTACAAATATAGCGGTAAATATGCCAAAATTTAGCGTACAATATATACAAAAATATACACTATGTGGAATTCACCTTCACTAAACTACGAAGAATGTAAAAAATAGTACTGTACTGCACCGCCATAGGTCAGTATACTAGAAACATTAAACGTACGTAACTTCTTTTCAACATTCAACCTTTCTAGTTATTTACTAAACCAATCTAAAAAATGGCAAATATGCCCTAATAACAATAAATCGTAATAATATATTATTTACTTCACTATACAATAAGATATATATAAAAAAAGGTATAATTATTCTTCTCAGATTGCATGCTCAATCCATTGACGTATAAATTGACTCGGTCCATTCTTTGGCATACCTTTATCACTTAAATAGTGTAAAATTGGATTATACTTTTTCTTTGAGCCTTTTTATTCCTGCTCGAACGTATTTTACCAAGTCTATTAGAGAACTGTGCAACGTCAAGGGCTTGCAATGTCTGTCTAATTCTATGAAAAAATCTGAAAAAAACATGTTTTGTTACAATAAGATTACCAAATCTTCAGTCTATAATAATTACAGTGTGTCAATTTATCAACCTTAACTCTAGTTCTTAATACCATATTACATAATATCTAATTAAGAGTAAAATTATGACATACAGAAAAATCAAGTTGTTGATTTGCGTGTTATTCATAATTTGATGCATCGCTCTGTCAAGTCGATTGGGTAAATTCTATAATTCGACTTCTAGTTGTACTAGATTCATTTTAGTATTGGTACATTTTTTAGTGACAATCATTATCCTTGTTACTGATCTTTCCTATTGTTAAATATGTTAATAAGTGTAAGTGACAAGACCGGAAACCTGCACTCTTTTGTGCGATTTCAGATTCGATAAGACACCAGTTGACTGTATATCTATGTTAATTTGTTCGCAAGTACACTTACCTTCCAGGGAAGGATTACGAAAGATGGGATTCAGGACAGACACTAAATGTGGGTAAAATTTTGTTATTTGCATTTCCTAATTCTACTTTAAAATTACACCATTCCTGTTCTCCACATATATAAACCTACTATGGCCCAAAGTCTCCGTCAACACAAGAAACCATTCATTTTGTGAGACCTTTGGATAGATATTGATAACAATTACGCGATGAACTGTTAAATTGAAAGGATTAATTAAAACCCCAATTTCCAAATCCATATTCACCACATACACACAATCAACATGCAAGACATCACATAACTACCAGTGCAAGTCTTATATAGAGTAGAACGCGGTAAATTACTATTTTCCAATTCCAGCTGTGGCGGCGCTGTTAGTCGAAGAGAGGAGAGAGTGGGCGTGGTTTATAGTAACCAACGGGAGGTTTGTATTCATCTGTTGTTCAATTGTCATAATGCTTAGATACGTGAGGAGCGCTTGTTTTGTGTTGAAGAGAACAAGAATTCCATTTGATCATTGCAGTGCAGCGTGCATTTCGTTTGCGATTTGGAGTTCCCCCACGCAGGCGTTTTTCTGGACTGCAATGTCTTATAAATTGGGCAAATACATTCAGAACAACAAGGGATGTGTCATCTGCACAATAGAGGAATATCGAACAAGTTGGGGAAGCAGTACTGCAATCTCCAAAACGCTGCTTAGAAACAAAGCACTTGCTCTTGCCATTTCAACACATTCTCTCCATCGAATTCTTCATAATGAACTCAATCTTCGCCCATATGAAATGTGGGTGGTCCTGAAATTGTCAGTATGGATTATGTAACACGAAGGTCATCTTGTGAAGACATGCTTATTGCATCCATACCCCATAACGCAAATGTGTTCTTTTTATTTTCACCGCAATGGGTGTGTAAACAAACAGAATATGCGGTATTGGAGCAAAACGAGCCCCAGAGAAATTCACGGGAGACCCCTGCATTCAGCCCGCGTCACTGTGTAGTGCACCATATCACAAGTCTGTATCATTGGCCCTTACTTTTTCCAGGAAAATTGTCAAGCTGTAACTGTGAATTCGAATTATTACTTAATTATGCTGCAACAGTTTTTCCAGTCGGATTTCAGGATATCCGATTTCAACAAGACGGTGCTCCTGCACACACAGCGGGTATTACCATGATTTCTTCAGGCAAACGCTTCCTGGAAGGCTTATTTGTCGGTCATTGGCCCGCATGCTCATCGGACGTCGCCCAATGCGATTCCTTTCCTTGGGGTTACCTGAAGTCGAAGGTATATTGAAACCACCCTGAAAGACCTACAGAACAATATTGAGACTGAAATTCCAAGAATACCAAAAGACATGCTGGAAAGAGTGCATGAGACTTCCCCCCCCCCCCTTTGATATTTTTTACTTTTTCGCACCCCACCCCCCCTCTTTCGAGCGTCACGTGATTAATCAACAACTCCAAAGTGGGCACTTTCGAACAGGAGTATCTACATATATTACCTTAAACCTTAATGCAAGGTATGTAACACTAATGAAGAGTCGCTGACAATCGACATCTGTCTCGTTAGTGACGTTAGTGGTTTCAAAAAGTGTGGCAGTTTATTGTTACCAGGAGGAACATTTTTTCCCTATGGAAAACTGATGTTTTTTTGCCCGCGGTAAAAGACAAAACGTGTCTTCGCCAGCAAATGTTCAACCTACGCGCGCGGATAGAACAGTGGGTCTTCAGTGGGACTCCATTAAGTACCCAGACCATGTAATCACACCCCGTGGTGTGCAAATGGATTCTGAAACGATATCCACCATTAAGAACTTGTGTCCGTGTGATAAAAAACAGGTTCAGAGTTTTGTGCAAACATGCTCCTGGTATAGGAAGTTAATCAAATAGTTTACGGACATTGCCCGGCCCCCTACTAACTCACTTAAGAAAAAAATCTTACAATAGCATAGAGTACTCAATCACCCTCTTAATTTTTCCATGTAATTTCTTTAGCTGTACGTTCCGTTGTATTCTCCCCATCTGTTGTAAACCTCTCCCATAAATTTTATTTATATTCTTTTTCTTTTCTATCAGTCTATCAGTTCCGTATACCTTACTTTTTGGTTCACAAACTTTTGTGAGCTAAATAGGTCAGAACAACGTTCAATGTACACTACAGGAATTAACCTCAGTTCTTCATTTTTGAGCATAATAAATTGACACACTTAATTCAACTAATTCCAATACTTACCCCTTTGTTTGCCTTTTATAACCAAAGCATCGGCCTGGTCCCACAGGTCTTGATACGAAAATAGATATGAAAAATTTTCATTTTGCTTTGACACCGCCGTATAAACGTGTACGGGCATCAACATGCAAGGTGTCGGCGGCGTCGGTACTGTCGTAGGCACCGTAGTATTCGCGCGCACCGCCAACTCTCCGCTACTGTAACCAGAAGACTGACTACCGACCGAGGCGACGGAACCGGCGGGCGACGGCGTCGGCGATAACGGGGAAGGTGTGCCCTGACCTCCGAGGGCGTGATTAATTTGGTCCGATTGGATTGGTGCCATATTTGCAGACTAAAAACCTTGGTGATTAACTAATCCCTTAAAAACTCGCCTTACCTTCGTGAAATAATCGTTAATGAGCTTTTGATTCTCTTTCATCTCGTACTTCTTCAACTTGAACAATTTGTAGTATATCAGAGCCACGCATCGATAACTGAAACGTAAACGTTTAACATTCGTTGGCACATTACAGAGTGAATCTTACCTTAAGACCGCTAATTTTGTATGTACCGACGATGAGTTTTGTTGACTCCGAAATTTTGATGAAATATATCTGGGGATAGAGCAGCATTAAATGGGGAATGTTAAAAAGAATGTGAACTCACTTTATAAGGCAAAGGGTATCTTTGTACATAGTAAAGGCAGCTTTTTCACTTAGACTTTCCCGTTCCATAGCGTTTCCAGTTAACAGGAAGTAAAGAACCGCTTCCAGGTATAGCATACACTGCTTTATTGTGTCCGGCTCTTTGTCAGCCAAATGCTTTAACCTCTTTGCTTCGCTCAGGTACCGATTTTGGTCTCTGCAATAAATGTTATAATGCTGATTTTCCGAAGAACTAAGTCATATAGATATATGGAATAATGATTAAGTGGCAGATACAACCCACCCCCCTCGCGCACCCCGCCCTCTTAATAGTACTGCACATTATAGGCAAAAGAGTTATAGAGTTCTCCTGTGTTGGGTGGTTTGTAATTTTCCGGAAATGGTAATTGAATCTGAATACTCTCCCCAGCAAAAAAAAGAAGATTCAATGACACTTTCCTGAAAATCGCAAATTACCCATCAACGGCGAACTCGATAACTCTTTTTCCTATAACCTGCGGTACTATCATGGCGGTTTTCTGGAAATTGCAATTACCTTTTCCCAAAAACTATCATGACATTTGTCATCAAATCTCCCTTTGCTTGGGAGATATTCCAAATCTCTTCCCCCCCCCCCCCCCAGAACCCGCCGGTACTACGTTCTTTGTAAAATTGTTCAGGAGATGATTTGGTGAAAAACTATTATGAGAGTCCTGAAGGCTAAACGTTTTGTAGGGGACAATGTAGCACCAGGGATCTGAGGTCCCCAGCAAAAGGAGATTTGACGATTTCACGATTATATCCCGAAAGCAACTGTCATGGTAGTTTTTAGGAAGTGGAAATCAATTCGTTCTATGCGCTAGCTAGAAGGTATGGAGTGCTCTGCTCTCCCCCGATATTTTTAGGAAAATACTAGTACCTACTATGAATTTTGTAGGGAGGGTTGTGAAAGTTTTCTTTTGGGGGAGGGGAAGAGGGTTATTCCATACACGAGAGTTCTAAGGGAAGAACGTTTTGGGGGAGAATGTAACACCTGGGGGTCTGGAATATCCCCCAACAGTACTTTCAGCAAAGGAGAACTCGATAACTCTTTTCCCTATTACCCGCGGTAAAATCATGGGGGTTTTAGCGAAATGGAACCCTCAGACCCCTGGTGCTACGTTCTCTGTAAAACTTGTTAGGAGAATATGATTTGATAATCTACCCAAAACTATCGCGAGGGGCTTGAACACTACTAGAGACCAGTACTTTCAGCAAAGGAGAACTTGATAACTCTTTTTCCTATAACCCGCAGCACTATCATGAACATTGGTGTAATCAAATCACTTTACAATCAAGAGAATCAATTGATTATACAGAAATAAAGAAACCAGTGAAAAATCACTATTGATTCTTGCAAAATCTAAGAAATCGTTTAATAACCTGTGATTTATCAAAGCATTTGCTAGTGCTAACTTCAAGTGAGGGGGACAAATTCTTTAACTTTACTACAAGAAATAATGAAATCATTTCAATGCAACTTACCTTTCCTCATCTTCGGAAGGTTCATCGACCCTTTCAAAGTACGAATGATACTCCCTGACGGGCTGAGACCAATTACCACAGTTACGTTCAGCGGGTGACGGCATAGGTGGCGTTCTCGGTCCTTTCCTTTCGTGATTTGTGGGTGGAACATCTGTTAGATTGTCACTGTCGACATGAGATCTTTGCGAACTTTCCAGCTCGTCTTTCCGCCTTTTGCTCTTGTGATGACCTTTCTCTTTCCTATGCTCCTTCCTTCTACTACTACTATGTGATATACTACTCACTGTAGACAGTGAAGATATCGAACTACAGCTATTAAGCCTTTTACGCTTGTTACTGGAGTTTGATTGACTTTGATTCGAACAATCTGGCTCCTTTTTCCAAACTGGTCTTCGAGTTCCTAAATCACTATCACTCTCGTTTACAATAAGGCTAGTTCTGTCACTTTTACTTTTATTTACAACCTCCGAATACGTGGAACACTTTATTTCAATTGGGGAACTATAAGGGTCAGTCTTAGGTTTCGCATCATTTTGCCTTGTGTCTGCCAAGTCAGCGCGTTGCCGAAGCTCCTCAGATTGTCTTTTACCTAATTTTGGTATATGTCTTAAATGACTTAAATCTATTCTATTCCAGTCAATTCTCACTAATACACTATCTCTTTCAAACTTAGCACTTTCGCTAACTGGTAACTCAGTCTTAGGAATTTCACTAACAGAACGAGGACGTGGCGTAACACCTTTTGCGTCATGGCTGGGAATCGGCGACAAGAGTGTGGGGTTTGACACAGTAGGCATTGCCTCATCCTCCACGGACGAGCTGCTACGTTCGTAATCGCCATCCACAACAATAACATTAACGCCCCCCTTACCCTTACCGCCTTTACCTCCTTTAGCACCACCTTTACCACCCCCCTTGCCTCCTCCTTTTCCACCTTCCGAATCTCGTTTAGGTGTAAACAATTTTCGAAGGGTGTCGCTCTTCTTCTTGTCCTGAATGGACTTGCCTCCAGTATCGACTTTAACCGGACTCTCCACCTTGTTACTGTTTACGAGAGTCCGAGCCAAATGGTCACTATCCGAAGATCTATCATCTCGGTTGCTAATGACATCACTGTCGGAGCTAGACGATCGGCTGCGATTTCGTGGAGGAACGGGTACGGAAGGCTTTTTGGCGGGCGCCCGATCGGAGTCGCTACTATCGGTATCGGTTGTGGTAGGTAAGTAAGGAGCACTTTTCATCATCGAATTTGTCCGACCTTTCCTTCGAAATGGAACAACTGTCTCTTTTTTCTTAGGTGAATCTGTGGCCCTCTTTTGCTTACCATCCTTCACTAAACTATTACTTCTCTCGCGACTTCTATCCATTAAATGGGCGCCGATTTTGTTTTTGTTCATTTTGCCCCATTCGTCGTCCGAATCGTCTTTATTTTTGTTGCGCTCCTTATCTTCGCTTTTGGGTTTGAGCTTATTTGGACGAGGCGGTTCTTTGTGACTGGGTAACCTATCGTTGTCGGAATCACTGATGGACATATCTCGTTTGGAAATCGTCCGCCTTCGTGGTGGTAAGGGTTTGTCGAAGACGGACGGTTTTCTTTCGTCCTCCGAGCTGCTCGGCGAAGGGGGACGTTTCGGAGGCCGGCCCCTTTTCCTGACCGGATTTTCGTTTTCTGACCCGCTTAACGTTTTAGTCTTATGGCTATTGGGAGGCCGTCCGCGCTTCTTTACCCGTACTTCACCATCGGAACCGCTAAGAGACCGTAGTTTGTTCTTTCGAGGACGACCTCTGTTTGATTTTGGTTTTTGATTACCTGGTTCGGGCTTTTTTATATTGGGCGATACCAGCCGCTTGCTTAAGTCGCCGTTGGAAGCACGTATAAAGTGATTCGGTTCCGGGTCGGAATCGCTACACGCGGATTTGGGTCTCGGACTTGCGCGATTGACGGGTTTAGGAATTTTGGTAACCGCCCGATGATCGTCATCACTATCACTGTCCGACATATTGGTAACTGAAGACACTGGTCGCTTACGTCTTTTGGGGCTTTTCGTTTTAACACTGCCGTCCGATTCCGAAAAGCTAGACAATAAAGGCGCGGGAGGTTTAGACGCGAAAGCTTCCGCAACGATACTATCCAGATCTTTCGTTGAATCACTCGAGTCCGAATCATCACTACAGTTCCTTCGGATGTTAGATGAACTTAGAGACAGATTGTGAGATGAACTTTGAAATGGCGACTGAATACGCGGGGATTGCTGCGTTTCCGCTTTGGCCCCATTTTGGTCTAAATACGATGCCAAATTCCACCGCGGTTTCGCTTCTTCTTCCGGCTTTGGCGAGATATGTGGAGGATTTGCTGATGATGGTACGGGAGAGACGCGCGCGTTGGAAGTCGTTATGGTTTCTTCGCCAGTACCATCACTACTAGAATCGCTGTCAGATTCTGAATCAGAGCCCGAATCGCTTGTGGAACTTGCAGCGGCCGAGATACGAGATATGGGCTCTGGAGGACGTTCCATCACAGGATTGCTAGCAGGTGTTGCGGCAATTGGTGATACCAATCTGGAAGGGTTTACACACATATAACCCACCAAAAACAACTCAAAATAATCAAGGGATCTAACTTATCCATGCAGGACAAAACAATAAATTATCATAATGAAATAGGAATTGCATTTCATTTCAACTAACTTAGAAGAATATTTCGCAGAGGGTAGATACTTACTTTTCCACTACATGTAAATTGGAAGGTACTTGCGAAGATGTTGGTGGTGGTAAATTTTTCTCATCTTCACTATCATCTGTATCGGATATATTAAGATCATCGCAAAGTTCCCTGTAAATAAAATACAATTATTTACTTAAATTTTCGGCACTACCCTTCCTCTCCAAAAGCAGTACGTGTGCTTTCGAGCATGTACGAAAACATGTTTACTAAAGTGGCCGAAAAAAAGGATGAGTCATTTGCGTTTTACAGTTGTTACCATACGAAGCAATGTGGAAATAGTTACGAAATCACAACTTGAGATAACAGATCGTTTATTTAAATGTCAGCCTAGTAAATATTGCTCAATTAGTATATGAGAAAGGGAAAATTTAATTTACATCGCCTATACTTGCTAATATCATTAAGCTAAACGCGTGCAGAATTAGGTCTTAATAATTAAGACGCTCGTATTTAATTACAAATTTCTATCTTCAGTTGAAAACCCACTTGTATATTTAACAAACATAAAAACAGCTGTTTTGTTGTAGTACCTTTCGTGGTGCCTGGAAGCGACCTTACTCTTGGGAAAGTTTGGAAGACACAAGGATTCTTTCTTATATGTACTTACTCCCTTTCTTTGTGTCTCACGCAATTTACCAGTTGATTGTTATAATTTAATGCCAGATGTGGTAGCAGACATTCAATACAAAGTTCGCGAAGAATTGGAAATGGTTACAAATTTGACTACTTCATTCAAGTATATCGGTAGGGAAAATATACGGTCGAAAGGTTCTCGTTGCAATTACAAATTCATGAGCATTTCCGTCGATATTTGCTATTGTGTACAGGTGAATGAGAACAGTATGTTCAAAGTTGGAAGATCAAGGTTCAGTTCGACATTTAAATTACTGCACGTTTGTGTCGAAAGTTTTATTAGCACATTTTCAAAATGCAATTACCCTACCAATGCACTCTAAATCCAATATTTTAGGGATACCCAATTTAAAAATCCAAGAAAACTGCATGTGTTCACTAAAAAAATATCAGCGAGTTTGTTTTTAATTATCATCCAACAACGAATTTCGAATGGTTTTCATCGCTCCCTGTTTTTATTATGCAGTTTGTACAAAGGGCCCCAATTTCAGGCCTAAGTACGCGTGGACCCTGTCCACCCTCCTATCGTAATCCAGAATGTACAATGTACTCACAAGAAACCAAACAGTTGATGTCATTTACTCGAAACTCACAAGTCATAAAAATTTTATTAGCACAATCAGAAAGCTGAGAAAAAATTACTAATGGTTTGTTAAATTATTTTTTTATATTTTCGAGAACGCGCTGGCGGCGTTCGTTTTTTTTAAAAATGTCATCGACTGCTAAGGCCGTTAGCCGCTAGCATTCATTTATTTTTGTTTTTTGAAAACAAATGAACGTCAGCAGCTGATAACCTTAGCAGTCGTTTCCATGTTAAAAAAATTTAACGCCAGCGCATTCTCGAAAATGACATTTTTGGATTTTTTGCCCTGCATACTTTCATAACATAATTCTGCACAACTTTGCCCATTTCAGAATATACTTTGGCGGTATACGAGACGAGTGAAAATGAAAAAAAAGTCATCATATATAGGGCAAACTTTTTCCCAAAATGCCTCTTTCGGTTCGATTTTAAAGATTTAGACATTTTGCTTTTTCTACAAACCTTTTTTTTCATTTTTGTTGTGATCAAATATTGGCCAGTTTTGAGTTTTTTGAATTCTACTCGCCACCTGAATACCTTACTCTGGAAAATTAGGGTTGTCCATAATTTCATAAGGGCATTTAAACGTGATAACTTTGTTTTTCTGCAGATCCTTGATCTTTTTCAATCTGCCTTTACCTTTCTGTTTAATTCTCAATGTCCGCACTGTAACAACCATTTCACTTAAAGGATTAATAAAATTTCCAATCCGATAATCCAAACCACAGATTTATTTTTCCTGGTTTTCGTGCTTGAAGTAGAGTCGTACTAAAACTCCCATAGAATTTCGAGGTTTGTTTTGGGGAAGCGATCTTATTTGGTTTTGAGTAGAATCACTCAAATCATTAAGAAAACTTTCAGCATATTGTCACTGTTGCGATTCAATCGGGCAATTTATGATAAGTGGATTAAAAACACTTCTGGTGTTAAAAAAAACTGTACCTACTCGGATATTTTTAATTAGAATGAAATTATGCAACACGTTTGCACTATTTTGCATGGATCTATTTTCAAAGTTTGTACCACACTTTAATAAAACGAAGTATCTAACTTGAAACCCATTGGCGTGTTAGATACACAAATTGCTACCTATGAATTTCATTCTGTATACTTTAAATGACATACACTTAACATTGAAAAACGATTTCCAGTTAAGTAGATGATTACATACGTCCGATTTCATGAAATTACATCTAAAGTGGAACAAATCGTGAATGTTTATAAGCAATGCGCAATTCTGCAAATTAAATATCAATATATAATTATTGAGTATAAACTAAGGTGAGGTGATTATTTTACGAAAAAAAATGGTATTAAATTCACCTCAAACTAGGAAGTCCGCGATCATTAGGAATATAATTCTGATTTGACATCGATCCGCTAATGAGCTAATCAACGATTCCCGGGAATGAGAATTCCGATTAATCAGTACTGCCTTTTATAGATAGTTATTAACATCAAAGAATTCAAAGGCTACGCGGAAAATTTGGACCAAAAAGAAGGGCAGCTTGAATTCAAGCCCAAAACAAATCCGCTGCTCATTCGACGAACTAATTGCATTGTCACTCCAATAATTCCGATCAATTCAAAGATTCGAATATTAGTATAACTATAAAGCTAGCACTACTGCACTGCTTAAGTTTTTAAGATAAAAGTTGTGTCTGACAAACCAAGTCTACAACCAAATTGCGTACCATACTTTTTCTACGACCTCCGTGAATTTCAAAATGAAAATAAGGCAAAACCCAAAACGACGTCTGTTGACAGTTGTGTAGATAATTATCCCTTCAAAAAGTGCGTGATCTATTCTAATTTTTTTCATTACGCACGGGTGTACGTAATGGGCGCCTTTAAATTATACGTAATGACCTCATTTTCAGGGAGGTCCTAGAAAAAGAATATGAAATAGCTTTGGTTTATTGTGCCCCTCTCAATCTCAATTCCTGGTTGTGCCACTGAGTGTAAACATACTAGAATGGATGGTGTCGAACTGTTTCCACACAATTTGAAATATAAATCTCGTCACAGAGAGTGTAGTGCAGCGATTTCATTTGATGGTGGAAATTTACTGCACGGACGAGGCCACAATACCTACAAGAAGTCAGTATGCATTTTGCAGAAACTTGTGAGACGGGGATGTAGCTATCTTAGGGTCTTACGTGTTGCAAGCTTAAATGAACTATGTTTCCAACGTGATGGTGCCCCTTGCCACTTCAACCGTGCCGACCCTATTTTGCCTAATAGCTGGAATGAACGGGGAGAACAAGTAGCTAGCAAGGCCGCCTATGTGTTCAGAACTTACACCGCCTAGACTTTTTTGGAAACAAATTGTGACCAAACTAATTCCCAAATAATCCCCAACGCAACAGATTCCAAAGAGACGCAGGATGGGCGCAGGTATAAATTAAATTGATCAATTAATATTTGGATGAGTTTTCCTTAAGTCAAAGCATGGATCGTCAACATCAGCTGATCATACGACAACTTTGCAAAAAAATCGGTTCTTTTCAGAACCACTAAATCTTTCTTTAAAAGGAAAGATAAGGGAGCTAAATTGGTTAACTTGTTTAAAAAATTGTAGCACGGTCTATCAATTTATTTAAAATCACTTACGATTCCAGTTTTTCACTTCAAAGGTCGTAATGAAAAACTGTTCGACAATTTTGTTCTGAAATAAGACCACAGAAAATTTTGTGAAATTCCGATCTGGATAATCCAAACAAGAATTTCCGTCGGATTGTTTCTATGACGTTACAGCAACGAATTACAGATTCGGCATTTCCATGTTAAAAGATTAAAAGAATTTTTATTCTTACCCCCAGGCCCCCGGTTAGGGGGTAGAAATTTTGAAAAGATTCTTTAAAAATGGAAAAAAGCATACCCGTAGCACAATATTCAATACCAAAGACAAACGGTTTTCCATCCTGCGTAATACTTCTCATGGTTGTTGAAAAATAAATTAAAAAGAAATGCGATTATGGGCAGTATAGCTTCAAAAGGACATTGGCGATTCTCGATTTATTTGAAAAACGTTTGCCTTGGCCCCCTCTATCACCAAATTTCTTGGGCATCCCTCAAATATAACACCCTATAGGCATATTGCCAACTTTACATCCCCCATATCAATTTCCGGAAAATCAACAATTAAAAACTGGAACATGTCCAATTTGTATAGAAGAAAGACTACGCTCACCGTAATCTTACATCTCATCATTTTCTTCGGGGGAACCACTAACATACAATATTAAAACAGCCCGATTGGCTCCTTTTGATTTTTTTCGATTAGTGGATGTGTTACATACTCGTATTTCTATTAATTATAAGAAACCCAATGAATCAAATGTTCTAAGGGCCAGTATTTTATCTCAACTTTAATTTATCAGACAGTTACATACAAGCAAATTCAAATATTAATTTTTATATGGCACATCCCGTTGAATGAGCTTTCGAATGACCCCCCCCCCCCCCACCCAAGGGGCTGAACTGCAAGACTTGAGGTTAAATTTCGCAATCTGCAAACTTTATTTGGGAGACCCTGTATATTCTGGCTTATTTCGAGTGATTACCTACAGACTGACATTTAAATATTTTAAGAAGAAAATGAATCCGAAAAGCTCATCCCGTGCATATTGCAAATTAAACATTAACATAATATCTCGGAGATCTTTTCAGAGAGGAATTGTACTGCGAATGACAAACAAAAGTTACGCCACTGTTCAATAACTGCCAAGTGAAGCGAAACTTCTTTGCGCATCACAAAAAGCGCAATTAATGTAACGCGCAAAAAACTATGTGTAAGCAGAGTTAGTAATTAAAATAACTAACGCGCAAAAAACTATGTGTAAGCAGAGTTAGTAATTAAAATAACTATTTCTAATTATTATAGAAATAAAAATGGGAATGCCTACTTTACGTTAAAAAAGATAAATGTTAATTATTAACTACGTATTTCTAGGTACTAAACACGTTGACGTAGTCTCTACCGAAATTTTTCTTATCAGAAAGTCATTGCTTATCGCAATTGAATAGTTAATTAAGCATGCAAATGAAGTTAATTAAATGTACGATACTTACGACTGCTGCCGAGGGACGGACTGACGTTCTCGTCCTGAAAGAAAACAATAACAGAATGTTAGAAGTGATGATGGTGGTGGCACGGTCGCGATGCCACCTGTTGTAGGTAGCGCATTGCACACCTGCAGCCAGGTGATTCAACCAAACCACGACACAAAGCAAAAGTCTGTTCCGATAGGCGACAAAGAGGATGAAGCCTCGTCGGAAGCTATCATCGCGTCCAAATTCCCCAACTTGGCACTCTCAAAACTAAATTGCTTAATATTTTGAAATCGCCACTGAATATTAATTGAGGAATGAACTACGAACGTGCCGGTGGGAGGAGGAGGAGGAGTTTGCGACTATATGAAAACGTAAACGACACGATTATAGACGTAAAAGAGCGTTCACCCGCCGCGGCGAACCTCATTTGCCCATTCTGGACATACTACAAAAGAGTTACGAAACTTGACCGTTAGTACATCAAAACGCGTCACTTTGATTCGACGGCGGCGGCGGAGACGTTCTAAACGTTAACGTCTAAAATCGGACACGTTAAACCACCCTAAAAATTTCGTACGAATACGCTAAGGAGAAGGGGAAATAAAGCAGGTGTGCTCATTTCCCTCTAAGCTAATAATATAAAAGTTTTTAAATTAAAGTAACATCCGGAATAGGATTATCTAAGTCGTATTCGATTTTGTCAGATTTTAGCGGGGCGCAAGTTAAGGGAGTACCATGAGAAGCGCAATCCCGGCCGAACATTACACGGACGACTTCTCGCGAGTTTTTTGACACCTTCAAAGCTTTTGCCAATTTATAGGTAGATGGTAAAGAACAGCTGTGCTTTTTTTTGAAAAATTAAATAACATCATCACGGGATTAATTAAGCAAAAACCGTCGAACACCTGTATCCCCTAAAATAACAAATTTCCAGTTTGTAAGTAAATGTATGTGCCAAACCAATTTGTCATTTACAAGCTGAAGAGCAGTCAAATTTTTTAATGGTCATATACATTCCCAAAACGATGTTCACTACGTCTGAAAATAAACCTAATTTTCAACCGATGAAGTGCGTTCAGATTTACAGTACGTAGTAAACAATGTGACCCACAGACTATATTTTTCCACGTATAGTCTCTCAGCGAGCGTTTCTTCAACCCCTTTATAGAGCTTCTTTCCACCTCGTAGCTCGTGGAAAATTTTTGGCCGGTCAGACGCACTGCTAACATAGATGGAGATCTGACGGAGCCAAATCAGGTGTGAAAGGGATGGGAAATCAATTGGAATCGCAAATCGCCCAATTTCTGTGGCATTGTGGTAAAAGAATTTCTTCATTGCTAATCCAAGTCGTTTCTCCGCGATTGCTGCCTGCAAACGTTCCAAAAGTGCTGAATAGTACTCTCCGGTCATTATTTTCCCCTTTTCCAGGTAATCAACTAGCAGAATAACATTTGCATATAAGACTGACGACTGACGTCATCACCTTCGTGTCAGTTTCCAAGAATTTTAAAACACATTTCAATATTAAAAGAACGGCTGAGCTACGTCAAAAAATTCCAACGCCTTCTTGTGTTCCAATTTCCATGTCACTTTGGAAACTATATCAATTGGACCTTTAACCAACAATGACGCAAAAAGCTATTTTCGGTTAGGACGAAAAACGAGACAAGAGGTTCAAGAGGAACTTCCCGACGTGTCTACCGTAACTAGCATTACCTACATGCACAGATTGGCGAGCATTATTTGGAATATGACAATAGAATAACTGGAATTCTGGCATTACGAAGTATTACCTACTATGTCAAGGGCGATGTCAAGGGTTACCTACAGGGGTCAAACGTTTCGATTTTACAAACTATGTACATATTTTTTTGGCGTTATGACTTGATCTAAAGCTCGATCTAAGGCAAAACTAATGCCACTTCTTCTCTATACAGCTATTTAATTTAATTTTTTAATCCGACGTTTCGTGTTTACGGAACCATGATCAATTTCATTTTTTTTTAAATACGGCTCTGATATTCCGATATCATATTCTTAAAGCCCTTTTTATTCTGAATTCAATGATGTACTTTATGGTTGAATTGCGATTTAGCTTTTTTTCGGGATTAATTAAGAACATTCCCATTACAGAAGGGTTTCGGTTGGATTAAATGAAACATCCTACCATGTGAAACTTTTCTGCTTTAGAAAACATAATTAAGTAGTAGATAAAATTATTAATTATTATACAATTAATTATTGTCCAAAGGTATAACACCCCAATATCACCAATAAAAGTATGCTTTGGAAAACAAATGAATGTGGTAATGCCGTATTTGAACTGCCGGTAACGTTGGTTTTTCCACATATTACTTTGGTGTTTAATTTAGTATTTTTTCTATTAATTATGTTTTCTAACGAAGAAAAGTTTGACATTGTGGCATATCTCAGCGTGTTTTCGGCCAATCGAAATTGTTCTGTTGCGTAGTGCGGTTGCGGTGATTTAGAAAGACGTCGCTCATTTTTGCGCACGGTACACAAGAAAATGCCAAAAGAATATGAATGTTCCTTATCAAATAATATGGAATGATGAGAGTATGATAGGAATAATGGCATTTTCAATGGACAAGTCCACTATTGGTCTGGAACCAATCCACGTTTAAACAGAAGTCAGGGCATCAACACCGTTTTAGTTTTAATATGTATGGGCTGGTATTTTCGGTACAAGAATTGTAAGACTATTTATTTACCACCATACTCTCAACCTTAACCTCGGAGGGCTACACCATTGTTTAAATACTTTTAAACAATGGCTACACTTACATTTACTGTATCGAGTAGTGGATAGGAAAAAGTGCTTAGCACCTCGCTTAGCACCCTTTAGGGAACACCCTGGTAACAGTAACATTTGACAACGGAATAAGAATAAGGGGGTCAGTTCTGGAAGCATTTGCTAAAATTACTCCACAATTGTTTTTATTCAAATTCGTTTTTTGTTGTATTTCAATGCTTACTACTTACTATCTTCTGTTCATTTAATTAGATTTGTTTTTGTTTTATCTATTAAATTACTGTATCAATTCACTGATTGGATTGCTATTAAATACGTAATGATATAAAAACCGTTAATTGTCCTAGCTGACTATTTATTAGAAAAAATCTGCAGACCCGTAATAGGAATTTTCTTAATTAAGCCCGAAAAACAGGCTAATCCGCAGTTAAACCTTAAATTACATTGGATTCATAATAAAAAGGGATTTATGAATATATCAGAATATCAAAAGTGTATATTTAAACAATGAACTTGATGATTGCGTACTGTGTAGAGACGAACGTCGGATTAAAAAAATTAACGCTATACTTTAAAGAGCATCAAAGATTGGTTATGCTTTCGGTCAAACATTTATGCCAGATGAAAATAGTTCGTAAAATCTAGATTCTTTCACAATCTTCATTTCAAAAACCAAAAAATTGTTCAGGGATTTCTAAACGCTATCTTCTTAGATATTTGATTGGGCAACTTTTCTCCCATTTAACCAAATTTGTATCTCTAGAATGCACATAGTGGCCCTCGGATACAGTGTATTTCGCGAGGTATTTCGAAAACATTTTGAAATTCGTAAAAAGTATGTAAAACGGAAGAGGTAGAGGAATTTTATACAGTTTTTACTCCCCTTGCACGATAATGGAATACTGCACATAATTTTCGTCTTGCGAGTCATCTGTAACCACTTCAGAGAGTAAGAAAATATGACAATATTCGCAGATAGATAGATAGGTATAGACTTAATGTAAGTAGTTGGTATAAATAAAGATCATGAACGGAAAAATCGAGGAAAAAACGAGGGAAAAAATGAAGTGAATTACTTACTTTGCAAGGCAACAAAAATAAGGAATCTTTTGGAATTTACCGAGGAAAGTACCGAACAAATGTAAAAGGATACTCTCCATGTATAAAAATATATATTTTTACATAGTAAGAAGCGTAATACTCCAAAACCTAAGCAAAGCTGTTAATTCCATCCTATCACCTAATATCGTTTCCGAGAAAAATTTTGGGTCTTTTGGAATTCCTTAAGGAAACATTCTGGACCCTGGGTTTGTTTCGAAAAAAATGTTAGTTTGGTCCCTCCTATCACTTGGAACATAAACTGAAATATACTCAGCACAACATCCCATGATATTCCTATAAGTATTTTATTTATTTATTTTTGCCCTTTATTTTTAAGTGGGTGGGATTCCAGCCAAGGCCGCTTTACCAGCCTACACTATACATTTACAAATATCCATGACCGAAACATCTCGTCCAAACCTCGTTATCGAAATATACCACCCCATCGACAGCAACATATCGCTCTTAGGTACACAGATAAACTCACAGAATAAGATTGGAGATATGATGGTTCAAAATAATGTCGGAGACGGAATTCGCGTTTTAAAAATGTGTATACCAGATTTCAAGACTTCAAAACAATTTAAATTAATTTCTATGTGATTTCAAGTAATTTCAGATGCTTTTTAAACTGATTGGAAGGAAGATAGAATTTTACCAATTTTCAATTCAATTCAAACTTCTGTACCAGCCGGAAGGTTATCTTTTCGTTTTCCTTATTTTTGGTAATTCCTAGTTTTATAAAATTCATGACAATTACTTTGAAGAACCAACTCGTTACTACAACTTTCGTATCCAAGATTAAAGAGCTTGAAAAATATAAAATTTTAATATAAAAATACATGTCGAGTTGAAAGAATCGAAAATTGACGTTTCTCAGTAACTTATTGCAGCGTTAAGATCACTCTAGTCTAGGTAAACGTTAAAATTTCAAAAATCCTGTTACTTTGAAGACTCGTTGTTAAGTCCCAAAATTTGAGTTTCCTTTTCAATTTTTTTCACAGCAGCCATTCACATTCTATAGCAAGATAGCCCACCCCTAAACATTGGTGCTAACAAAATCACGATCTCGACGAACTTTGGCCCTTTAAACATGAATAGTTATTTACATAAAAGTCAGGAAAATGACATTACTGGCGAGGAAATATTGAAGTGCGGGGCGCCTTTGGGCCCGAGTA